TATATATTGTTATTTTCGTTATTTAATAAATAAATTAAAAGTTTTTACACATTCGCAAAATATGCAAAAATATGTAGAAATTAAAAAGGAAACATAACTATTTTTTTTTAATGGGTGAAAATGGAATGGTAACCCCGCCCGCGCTATCGGTATACACCGACGAAGCACCAGTGAAAGATGACAGGTGAGAATGAATGCAGGTCACTTGGCCCACCATGATGAATTCAACATGAATTAACCATGATGGTTTTCAGGGGGAACCGCGTCGAGGACAACCTGAGAGGGTATATTGCTAGCAGTGAGATTATTAGACCTCTACTAACAATTCCTTTTCCCCCACTCATAACTATTTATTACGCAAAAATGTTTGAAAAATTAAACCACTTTTCTCGAAGCGTTTATATGGAGACACTCTATCTATATAACCTAAGGTCAGCGATTTTTAATAAAGAAAACGGGTTTGAATCCCTAAATAAAAAGAAGATAAATACAGTATATAGGTATTTAGTGTTCTTATTTCTTTTTTTTTAATATTATGACTGGTTTTATTGAGTACAGATAGAGTACTGGTTTCTAAGCGAATTTCTTGTAAAAAAAAAGCCAGTCTTAAAGTACTGCAATAATTATGTTTATAAATTGATTAATATTGAATTTTCAAACGACTTTGAAACAGGAGGAGAGGAGACTTTGAAATTTTTTTTTAACTTTGACACCTTATATTGTGTGTCACCACACTGTTATTTATAAACCAATTTGAAAAATTATTTTTCCATTTAAAAGAATATACTTTTACAATTGTTTTAGATGGAAAAAGTTTTTTTTTTCCCAGAGGGAAACTTTGTACAAAAGTTGTTTACTGGGCACCTCTGTCCTATTTGTGTTTCTACCGTGTAGCAGTTGTGTTTGCATGGCTGTGTTTCGGTTTAAAGGCTGCGATATGGCAGTGAATTTACAGGGTACAGAGGAATAACATCTGAGTTCGGGGGGGAAAGTGATTGTTAGTAATAGAGACTGAGAATCCCATTACTAGCAATATACCCAACCACGTCGACCTCCTCGCGGTTCTCCCTGGAAACTATCATGGTTAATTCCTGATGAATTCATCATGATGGGCTAACTGGCCTGTTTTCGTTCTCATCTATCACCCTTCACTGGTGCTCCGCCAGCGTATCCCGTTAGCGCAGGCGGGGTTACCATTCCATTTTCTAGCAATAAAAAAAAACACGATATGCTTACTGACCTGCTTTTTCATTCTCACCTATCATCCCTCACTGGTGCCCCGCCGGCGTATACCGTCAGCGCAGGGTTACCATTACATTATCATCCATTACAAAAAAAATCCTCATTGTACATGTATATTAACAGTTTTTATTACGCACAGACGGATAGAAAGACAGTATATTTTTATAAATATGATGTAAATATAATTTCTTGTTTAATGTGATCATAAAGAGATAGTATGTGCAAACAGACGCCGTGACAAGAGATTCTGTCATTGTTTAATTCGAGTCACCGAGTGATACTGTACTTTTGTATCAGCCACGTTAGATAAACTTTCGCTTTTCTGTGGTTTTTTTTTTTTCTATACTGGTAAGTTTATTTCTTTTTTTTTTTCTTTTTAAGCCATTCCATTAAAGAGGTCGTTCTCGATTTGCCTATATTTCAATTAATTAATCATTTATTCGTATAAACATAGATATAGTTAATTTGATGTTGTATAGAGTGCGCTGTTTTACCATCGTTGGGCGTACATTTTTTTTAATGGGTAATAATTAAATGGTAACCCCGCCGACGCTATCGGTATATACCGGCGGGGCACCAGTGAAGTTAGATGAGAATGAAAGGGCAGGTCAGTTAGCCCATCGCGATAAATAGACCAGGAATTCAGCACGATGGTTTCCAGGGGGGACCACGGGTAGGATGACCTGATAGGGTATATTGCAATGGGACTGGTAGTCCGCATTACTAGTAATCCCTTTCCCCCCTTGGCGAAGCAATAAGGAATGGTAAGTGAGGATGAAGCAAGTCAGTTGGCCCATTGTGACGAATTCCACAAGAATTATCCACGATAGTTTTAAGGGAGAAAGCGGAGGAGGGGGAGGACCTGCTAACACAGAAGGTTGACCTGCTTACACACCAATACACCCTCTGTATTGCTAGTAATGGGGAAATTAGATCTCATTAGTAACAATCCTCTTTTTTTTTGTAGACTTAAAATTATACCACACTGAGATTTGCTGGATTTAAAAATCTAAATATTACTTGTCTTATTGTTTACCAGTAAAGCTGATAACATTTCTAACGACTGTAAAAAAATATAATTAGATTTTGTTGATATTGTTCTAGAGCAAAGGATCTATCTTGGAACGTCTGTTTAGATATTTAGAGCGTTCATATTTGTAGCTTACCGAAGTGTGACACGAATGGGACAGAAGTACCCAAGCAATCTAGTTTTGTACAAAGTCTCCCTCTGGTATTTGTATGCTGCCATATAAACATACAATGTGGTACGAGTAAATTGATAAAGGAAAATAAACTTACGGTGACTCCCCGACGATACACGAACGACACATTAATGTGTTTTGTTTTAATTCTATTATATTTTTAATTTTTTACATTACTTCATAGTGAAATACGTTCTTAATTCAATTTATATTTTTCGTGTTCTCAATCTAATCTCAAATCTCAAACCGAGACACAGCCATGCAAACAGTACCCAAGCAAACGACTTTTGTACAAAGTCTCCTCTTCCTCTTATAATTTGTTCTCATATAAATCTTATTTAACTTGAGTCAGTCGTTTAGTTTTCAAAATCAAAATAAATAATATATATATATATATATATATATATATATATATATATATATATATATATATAAATACAATACATAAATATCAACACAATGATGACAGTCTTCTAATCAATTATATTTAAACAAAATTGGAAAAATAGAGTGATTTTAAATCTTTTCTATAATGTCTACCACCATATCATCACCACGTTATAGAGTCATCATCTATCATTATATCATCATCATGATGTAAAAACATCCTCTAGTTACAATTTTATTAGTGAAATAAATAAATGATCAGCTACATCCTAAAATATCAAGGCTCGTGAAAGATCATTAATTAAAGTGTCACGCTGTGGACAAATCCGTGACGAGGCATCAGGTACGTGCCGTGACCTCGCCGACCTTGATCGTCACGCTGCCTGCCCACGGTGTATACCTTTTGTACGACATCAATGGGTACTCCCATCAATTTGCCAACAAAACAACAATTACTGTAGTTTCGCTTTTTTTTTTCTTATTTGTACCATAGTGAATTTATAATTGATTTAATTTAATTTAATTTAATAGTATAATAAATGGGAAAGTTTGTAACGTTGGATAGAGGAATAGGTGGAGGAATGTTTATTACTCTCTTAAGCAAAAAATATGAAATGGATTTGAATGAAATTTGGTACACTAGTAAGTTAGATCGTAATTTAACATATAGGATGCTTAATGCACTAATTCAAGCGGGTAAAACCGCAGGATGTATCCTGTATGCATGTATGCTACACTAACTGACTGGTCCTCAAGCCAGAATATTGTGTTATAAGAATTTAGCAACGAACATTTGGGGTAACAATCCAAAACACTTAGACACTAGCCAAAACGGAAATGTTGGGGAGGATTGTTAGTAATGGGGATTAGCAATCCCATTGCTATCAGATCAACCCTTCACGCAGTTCCCCCTGGAAATCATCATATTGATTTATTGGTGAATTCGTTATGCTGGACCAACTGATTTGCGTCATCCTCGACTATCATCCCTCATTCAAGTCCCGCCAGTTAGCGCAGGCGAGGTAACCACTTCATTGTCATCCGTTAAAAAAAATATGAAAAATTTCGTGTTCCAAATTACTCGCACCGGGAATCGAACGATTACTAAGAAATTCAACCTCGTTGCGCTTAAGGAATACTGATTTTGTAAAACTAAATGTCACTTGCACTTCTTCACTATGTCCTACGCCACTTTAAATAGACTAGAAGAAGTCTTTTCAAGCGACTTCAATAAAAAGAAGGTTTACACAGCGTTTATAGATTTTTTTCTTGTTTATAGTTTTTTTTTATATTTGCCATAAATCCGTCATTTATAAACCGTTTTACAAATTGATCCCATAGCGACCTTATTAAACTCGGTTCAGTCGTTTAGTTTTCAAAATTAAAATATATATTTTTGTCACTACTAAGGTTTTTTTTGTGGAATATAAAAAATAATAAATTTGTTATTGAAAGTTCACGTCAAATTATACCTAATTATAATTATTCAGAAGATAAGATTCAAATCGCATTAATTTTGTGGTGTTTCCTTAATTTTTTTCTTTCTGAACTAATTATGTATACTTATTAAACATTTAATTTGTCAAATTTGAGACCACAAATAAATTCAGCCACAATTAAAATTGCTTTTTTTAGTAGACATTAAATCTCAAGCAATATTATTATGATGATTATCATCTAAGGCAATAAAAATTTACGTTATTCTCAGATAAATTATTGTTTTATTTTACATCATTTACTTATCTTGTATAATCTTTAATTGAAAGATAAAATACAGCCATGCCAGTCTTACATAGCTGAGTAAAATATAACTGGTAGTTCAGTAAAAATATTAATATCTAAAAATAAATAAATAATTATCATAAACCAATATAAATATATATTATATAAAATAAAAAAATATATATTTTAATATAGGTACACTAAAGTTTTTATTTAACATTATTTTAAAAATAACAATACTGGCCAGTAATAACTTATTTGAACAAAAAAAAATGTACAATAACAAATATTAGAATTCTAAATTTAAATTTCCCTCCTTTTTGCAAGCTATAGGTGACGTAGGTTTTCGTGTGAAAAAGAATGATAACTGTCACGTTATGTTTTTAAAAAGAAATTTTACGTTGTCCATTCAAACGAAATTTAAGTAAAATATATATTTTGTTACAGATGGGGTGTGCACGCATATTCGCGGCGCTTCGCCGTTGCAAACGATTAGAAGAGGACGACAATAAATCGCAGCTGGCCAGATGTCTGGGCCTACTGGACCTGACTGCTCTGGGTGTCGGCAGTACCCTCGGACTGGGGGTGTATGTGTTGGCAGGCGCGGTCGCTAAGACAGTCGCTGGACCGGCCGTGACCTTGAGTTTCCTGGTGGCGGCTATTGCCTCGGCTTTTGCTGGTGAGTGTTCTTTTCTATTTTCTCTCACCTACTTTAGTAGCTAGAGAAAAAATAATGTCAAAGCTTCTATCCTTATATCCAGGTTGAAAACAAAATTTTATGTAAAAAAATGACGATTTAAAAGAGCTTACAATCTTTTTTTTTATACAACTTAGAATGACAAACAAGCTGACGGCCCACGTTTGGAAAGTAGTAACAGTCGCCTATAGACATAAGCAGTACATAACACATGAACATAACAGAGTATACTGTTTCACCCATGATACCCCCCATGCGTTGCCATTCCTGAGAACTCAGGTGGTATTCCTTTGTACTCTGTAAATTCACGCCATATTCAAACCGAAACACAGCCATGCAAACACAACTGGTCTACGGTTAAAACACGAATGGGACTAAGGTACCCTAGTAAATTATAAAGTAGTATATTTATAATAGAAGTACGTGTTAATAAACAAGACAAACGTTAATCTTATATCTCTGAATATCCAAAAACATAGATAGATAGATACTCTTTATTGTTTCCTCCAAAACATAAATAAACTTTAAAAATTTTAACATCAAATTTAAAGCAATTCATCGCGGAAATTGCATGTAACATGATAAAACTAAGCCATTTTAAATATCTGAATCATGTACAAATATTTATCGCATTGTATAACAATATACGAATTTTATATAAAAGTAAACGTGAACTTGGCCCGGCTCGTTGCCGGTGTTTTATGGCCTAACATGAAATATACTAGGTATAGCTATGACCAATTACAAGCTCAAATCAGGCCTCATATAGAATACTGTTCTTACCTGTGGGCAGGAGCGCCACAGTACCAGCTCCTTCCGTTTGACCGCATTCAAAGTCGGGCGGCTCGAATTATTGACGATTGGCGCCTTACTGACCCACTGAAACTGCGTAAAGATGATGCATCTCCGTGTATCTTCTACCGAATTTATCATGGGAAGTGCTCTGAGGAATTGTTCGGATTGGTATTTGCTGCTAATTTTGTACCACCGTATAACCCGCCACAAACTAAAGTCCCATCGCAACCATCTGGACGAGTGGCGGTCTTCGACTGTGCGTTTTTCCAGGCACTTTCTTTCATGCACAACCACTTTTTGGAATCAACTTCCAGCAACAGTATTTCCAAACCGATACGACATCATAAACTTCAAGAAAAGAGCATATTCCTTTTTAAAAGGTCAGCGTCACACCTGCAATGCCATTGGTGTTGTGGGTGATCATGGACAGCGGTCGGGCCGCTTGTATCACATAAATTCATTGAAATCAGATGGGACGGTTTCGGAGATTAGAGTTTTTTCTCAATGTCCTCTACCCAAAGGTTGTCTGGAAGAGATTGCTTAGCGATAAGGCCGCCTTTTGTATCACTTCCCATTAATATTTATTGTATCTATTATATTATAAATAGTGGATTAAAGTGTAAAATAAATAAACAAGAATTAGCGTTAACGGACATATTGATAAAAAATTTTCATATATTTAAAATTATAGGAAGAAAACATCGTGCCCAGGTGATATAGAACTTCTTTTATAAATCCCAGTGGTCGTGAGTTCGATTCTGATTGACACAAAAAAATTATAATCTGTAGTAACATTATAGAGAAAAAATATTGTTGCCTCTTTATCTTGCTTTTATGTGATTAAGTTTATATAATTAAATATTCGTTTTGTTTGTAAATATTGTTAAACTTTATATTCGATATAACTCTTTGAAGGGAACGATAACGAGTCTTAATTCATTTATTCATAGACAGGAAAGATTTTTTTTCTCTTTATTGTACCGCCTACTTATTTCTATGTTTTCTCAATAATTGACTGGTGGGGGAAAAGGAAGACTGAGAATCCCATTGCTAGCAATATACCCAACCAGGTCGACCTCCTCGCGCTTCTCCCTGGAAACTATCATGGTTAATTCCTGATGAGTTGATCATGATGGGCTAATTGGCCTGTTTTCATTCTCATCTATCATCCCTCACTGGTGTTCCGACAGCGTATCCCGTTAGCGCAGGCGGAGTAACCATACCATTTTCACCGATCAAAAAAAATGGTTAACTGGTAAAGAACACCGTCCGGTGTTAATTCCGACATATACATAGAGTTTCACAGTGCATTAGAATTTAAATAAATAACTAAAAATAAAAAAGAAAGATTTATTTTTTTAAATTCTTTAAATGCTTAGTTGATTTCTAAAATTTTCTTACCTATAGAACGCTACATTATCAGAGAAATATGAGCTGTACTTTTGTTTTTAAAAACCGTGCAAAACCGGAACGGGTAACTAGTTTCTTAACAAAAATAACTCCACAAAAGTATTGACCACTTATGATAATGTTTTTTTTTTATTCCAGGTTTATGCTATGCAGAATTCGCCGCAAGAGTACCAAAAGCTGGCTCGGCCTACGTCTACAGTTATGTAAGTGTAGGCGAGTTCATCGCCTTCACAATTGGCTGGAACCTGATCCTGGAGTACGTGATCGGAACAGCCAGCGTGGCCAAGGGGATGGCCAATTACATTGACAGCTTATGCAATAACACCATGGCGAAAACCATGACCGAAGTTGCGCCGATCAACATCAGCTTCTTAGCTGACTATCCGGACTTCTTCGCGTTTGCATTGGTGTTGCTTATTACGAGTAAGTAAATTTCTTACCTGCCATGTGGTCCCGGCGTAGATTGGCCACCCTTCCTTCTTCTTTTCCCGTATGTGTCGTCGAGAAATGAGTAATAGCGTGCCACTTAAAACATCACCAAAGCCTAAAACAATTCTAAAACAAACAGAAGTATTTTGTACAAGAATTTGTAGAAAAAATGTCTAATTTAATCTAAATAAAGTTCCTTCTCTGAATCGAAATTAAAATTTTTAACAAATACATGAATTATTGCTATTTTTGCAAGTTCAATACCATACAAATTTAGATTTGTCACGTGCACACATTTATGAAACACACACACTAGTGTAACGTCTGTCTTGTCTCGTTTTGTGATTGCATTGTTTCAATCAATAATAATAAATAAGATGGCTAGTGTATGTATTGAGCAAAATGCAAACGCTGCCTACAGTGACGCAAATTTAGCGTCATTTCCATATTTTAGTGTCTGCTTTTTTCCTTATCTTTTGTTATTATAATTGGTTTGAGGTTGTTACTCCATTTTTAAACTCCATAGCTAATTAGGATCCTCCAGTTGTACTTGCAACGTAGTTATGGCACGAAAAATTTAAAGCTGTTTAAATAATAAATATGTATAATAATATATATATATATATATGTCTTTACCTATGATTTAGTCTACGTGTGCCGGATATGTTTACAGACCAGGACAACAAGTATCCTTTATACTTCTCCATCTTATACAGTACGTATGTACCAAATTTCATAATGATAAGTTATAAGGCAACAAGGTTATAAGGGCAGAGGAAGACCTAAAAAGACATGGATGGACTGTATGAAAGATGACATGACCAGAATGGGAGTGAATGTGGAAATGACTGCGAATAGAGAAGAATGGAAGAAAAAAACATATTACGCCGACCCCAAATAATAATTGGGATAAGCGTAGAAAGATGACGAGATATAAGGCAACAAACTCACTTTGAAGTTTAAAATGTTCGTGAGGATTATGCAAGTTGCTACTAGATGGAATTCGAAAGTCCTCTTAATAAAAATATAAGGCTTTCGTATAATCTATATTGCTATGACAAGCATTTTGAATGATCCATCCACATACAGCCTTTATGACGATGCAAATTAAGGATGAAATTTGAATGGTAACACAATTCCTACTATAATTTTATATTGGCGCTACTGGCATCCATCAGTGTGGGATAAGTATCTATAAAGTTGTCGGTTGGTTGATCGCGACTTACACATCATGACCACCACTATGGTTTACAATCAGGATGAGAGATTAAATGAACCTGAGCTTAATGTTACTGAAGCTGCTCAGCAAAATATTAAACTATCTATCCCCACAGACCTCAATTTAATTAGGTTTGCTAACGATAGGATAGAGTCACAATCGACTAACTGACCTGCTTTCATCGTCACCTATCATCCCTCACTGGTGCCCTGCCGGCGTATACCGATAGCACAAGCGGGTCTACCATCCCATTATCTTTCATTAAAAAAAAAAGATAGGATAGGATTTACTTCCATTTTACTAATGTATTAATTTATTTTCCAGTTCTCCTGGCCATCGGCGTGAAGGAGTCTACAAAACTGAACAATGTGTTCACAGCGCTGAACATGATCACTGTCATCGTCGTGGTCATCGCCGGCGCTGTCAAAAGTAATTATCTTGGATTTCTTTTACTGTCCCATAGTTAATCACGATCTCGCCTGATGAAAAGCGATGATGTGATCTACGGTAGGAGCTCGTGGTCCCACGAATAACCTATCCATATTTGTCTTAAATTGGTGCAGACTATATTTGGATGAAAAACATAAGCAGAGAGAGAGAGAGTTCTTTTTTTGGATGGGTGAAAATGGTATGGTACCCCGCCTGCGCTAACGGGATATGCTGACAGAGCACCAGTGAAGGGTGATAGATAAGAATGAAAACAGGCCAATTAGCCCATCATGATGAATTCGTCAGGAATTAACCATGATAGTTTCCAGGGAAAACCGCGAAGAGGTCGACCTGGTTGGGTATAATGCTAGCAATGGGATTCTCAGTCTCCATTACTAACAATCCCTTTCCCCCCGAGAGAGAGTTCTATGTCTATTATTAAATTCCCACTTTGATCTGTTTAATTGAATACATCCTATATATTTAATTTGCCAGATAGGCATTTGTGGATCTACGTTATTATTTATCAGTAATCAATTGGAAGGAATAAAATTCATAGATGTTAAGGGAGAAACCAAAGAACAGGTAGCTAGACAATATGAAAGGTAATACAGAGAGATAAGAGAGCGTAAGTTCATACCCGAGCTCACTCAGAGGATCTACTCATACGTCTTTTAGGTTCATCATTTCAGCCGTTAACTGTCCACTGCTAAATATAAGTCTTCTCCATAAGGGGAGTTTTGCCAGTAGTTACCATGCTTGACAGGCAAATTGGCAACTGCAGTTAGACTTTTAGAGATATTTTAAGAGGAACGCTGCTGGTCATCCCTCTACAATTAATTTCCTTTAGTCGCCTCTTACGAGACCCACGGGAAAGAAATGAAGGGCCTATTCTATTTTGGGACCACACGGCCAATCTTTTAGTTTACTACCTCGATGATATAAATATAAGCCCACTTTTTCTTTTTCTATCTTGGTAACTAAAATTCCAGGATTATGTTTCCAAGATTTAGAGGGATTTTTTATGTACTACACCTACCTATGTCTACCAGAGGGAGACTATGTACAAAAGTCGATTGCTTGGGTACCTCTGTCCTATTCGTGTTTCAACCATGAAGCAGTTGTTTGCATGACTGTGTTTCGGTTTGAAGGATGGGATATGGCGTGAATTTACTGGGTACAGAGGAATAACATCTGAGTCCTCAGGAATGACAACGCATGGGGGGTATCATGGGCGAAACAGTATACCCTGTTATGTCCATGGTACTGCTCATGTCTATAGGCGACGGTTACCACTTTCCATCAGGTGGACCGTCAGCTTGTTTGCCATTCTAAGTTGTATAAAACAAAACACTACAATATACTGGAACCAAAAATCAGATAACACCACTCAGCCGCATTTTTTTAGCTTAAACAGGGTTTATAAATTAATCAACTATCCTCTAGGTAATCCAGACAACTGGAGGATTAAGTTAGAGGACATACCAGCGGAACACAGAAGCGAAGCGGGCGAAGGAGGCTTCATGCCGTGGGGAGTAGCTGGCGTGATGGCCGGCGCTGCGAAATGCTTCTTCGGTTTCGTTGGCTTCGACTGTGTTGCCACCACGGGGGAGGAAGCTAAAAATCCCAAGAGAGATATCCCCCTGTCCATTGTGATGTCTCTGGTTATCATTTTCGTGTCGTACTTCAGCATAGCTACAGTGCTGACCATGATGTGGCCGTATTATCTACAGGTCAGTATAAAACTCATACATTTTACTGGTTAGCAGATAAAGGTGTATGCAGAAGAGTTTGTATGGTCTCCTTCTATTTAAGAATAAAAATAAAAAAAAAACAATCGATTCTAAACTCTTGTATAAATATAAAATACTATCACGTCATTCTCTCTGATACCTAAAGTCACTGAAATATTTTTAACAAAATTAATGGCAGTCAGGCCCGCGCTCACATCACAGCCGCTCATGATTAAGGGTCACGAATTGATCCCGATACTAGTCGAGCTTTCTCGATCTAATGACACGTAAGTTAAACCGGTAGTTATTCTATTAAATAAAAGCTAATGGGTATGTGTAGACTTTTCAGTGATTTGATAATAAGCCCATCTGTGCTACGAGTACATGCTGGTGGGGTACAAGGGAATGATGATAGGTGAAAATTATAGGAAGTTAGGTCATTTGGCCCATCGTGACGAATTGGAATCACAGTTCGACAGCTCTCAAGATCGAATTCCAACTCAAATATGTTGGCTGTACATGTTTTTGTTCATTTTACAAGTTAATTATGTTTTTTTGTGAACATATTGTTAATCTTTGTTATCAGTATTCTTTCTTTGAAGGATTTCCTTCAAAAAAGGATACAGATCATTGTTTAATAAAGAGTTTTCACACATTTATTCATTCATTTTTAAATCGTTTAGAAATAATTGTCACGTGCTTGGTGCTTCAAAGGGCACGTGTACACCGAAGGTAAAGTTAACCCTTAACACTAGAGGCTCCTTAACATCTTCCATATTAGCTATAAATCTCCTCATCATCTTTCGACTGCCATTTCGTTCACGCACCTTTTGCGACACGTAACCTCTAAACCAGGCATCTTCAGGTAAATTATTTGATCGCTGCTCGGAGTTTAAACTATGAATTTTCAGATTTATTACTAATATGGAAGGTTGTGGAACTTCTGGAAGTAATAGTGGTGATCAATTTTCAAGCGTTAATTGTCACAGACATAGTAATGTTAGCAGAATTAAACAAAATAATTCTAATGGAATAACTAGTGATTGTTCTTGTTCCCAGGACGCAGATGCCCCTTTCCCCCACGTGTTCACGGAAACAGGCCTGCCGGTCATCAAATGGATTGTCACTATTGGGGCCATCTTCGCACTTTGCACCAGCCTGCTGGGCGCCATGTTCCCATTGCCCCGCGTGCTGTATGCGATGGGCAGTGATGGCGTATTGTTCAGACCATTATCTGCCATCAACGGCTGGACTAAGACTCCTGTGCTTGCGACTATTCTAAGTGGATTGTTATCAGGTATATATTTATAATCATATCTGTCTTTAACTGTCGCAATAGTTGCCACGGTTGGCAGGCGGATTGGCAACCGCAGTCAAGCTTTAGAGATGTTTTAGTAGGGACGCTGCTTCCCATCCCTCGTCACTTAAGTTCTCTTAGTCACCTCTTAGTAGACCCACGAAAAAGGAAGGGGTAGCTCATTCTATGCGGGGACTACACGTCTTTACCTCTTATGCAATTGCCAAAACAGTCACTATAAAATTTTGGTATACACATGGTATGTATTCGACATATAGATGAGTTGGTTACTTTATTTCGGTCAATAAATAATTAGGTACCATTCCAAAAATCCCGCCTGCGCTAACGGTATACACTGGCGGGGCACCAGTGAGGGATGGTAGATGAGGATGAGAAGGCAGGTTAATTAGCCCATCGTGATGAATATACCTGGAATTCAGCACAATGGTTTTCAGGGTAAAGATTGACTGACAGAGTATTTTTTTTTGGGTAAAAATAGTATGGTAACCCCGCCTACGCTAACGGTATACGCTGGCAGAGCACCAGTGAAGGGTGATAGATGAGAATGAAAAACAGGCCAGTTAGCCCATGATGATGAATTCATCAGGAATTAATCATGATAGTTTCCAGAGGGAACCGCGAGGAGGTCGACCTGGTTGGGTATATTGCTAGCAATGAGACTGCTAGTCCACATTACTAATAATCCCTTCCACCCCAGCCGTATTATTACTTGCAACTTACTATTCATACTTATCCCTTAATGCAGACGTACCACAAAATGGATAAAACTTACTCCTGATTTCAGGTTCTTCGAAATGTTGCTCTTTCGAAAACTAACTAAAACAGAATTCGTATCGTTTCCAGCATTAATGGCGGCGATCTTCAACCTGAACCAGTTAATAGACATGATGTCAATTGGCACTCTCCTGGCGTACACCATCGTCGCTACCAGCGTGCTTATACTGAGGTAAACATTTATCTTCTGTAATGATATAAAGACAAACATCTTGACGGATTTATTAAAATACAGCAAAATGAGCTAAAGTTTTTAGCTTTACTTTTCATTAACCTAGTAGTGTAGGTGGGATTTACCTGATGAACAAGTGGTAACAGTTACGTAAAGACAACATTAGCTGACTGTGCGGTTCTTCATAAGTTATCATTACTAAGGACAAAAATTCCCTTGTGCCCTATAATTTTACTGTAATATCCCACTCTTCAAACCAAGACATAGTAATGCAAGCAAGCAAGCTGCTTCGAAGCAGAAACATCACTGGAACGGTTGATGTAGACGACTTTTGCATAGTCATTTTGTTAACCCCTGTGTGGATGCTTACGTATATTTGTGCAATATAAAGTTTCTTTCTTTTCCTTATTTCTTTCTTCTTTCTTTCTTTCTCCTTTCTTTCTTCTTTCTTTCTTCTTTCCTTCTTCTTTTTTCTTTCTTCATTTCTTCTTTCTTTATTCTTTCTTCTTCTTCTCTCTTTTTTCGTCTTCCTTAAAAAAGGAAAAGGAAAGAAAGCTTTACTTTTCCTTTCTCCATTCCCTTATCTTTTTTCTCTAAACTGTAACAATAATGGGAACAGTTCATTTCTACCACTGACTGAGTACCTCATCCAGAAGAATAGTCATGAGTCTATTAATTTTGAAGGTATGAGGACACCGATGACGTGGCAAGCCACCTGCAGCGGTCCAGCAAACCTCTGCCCGAGACTCCGTACACGGTCGCGCGGCAAACATTCAATCTGCTAGGTCTGAAGACACCCACCAGTCTCTCGGCCAATATTGCCAAAACTACTATATTTATATTCTGTAAGTAATCATACATTTTATAATGTTAATCAACCGACTTCAAATAACGGAGGAGGTTTTTAATTCAGTTGTAATTTTTTATGTTCAATTATAAACTAATTTTGAAAATTGTTTTTATCTGTGTGTTTATACTTTCAAATAGGGCTGATACAAATTTCATCACAACAAGTTTCGTGAACTGCCATGATGACCCGGCATGGAATAGGCCATCCCATCTTTTCCTGTGGATGTCGTAAAAGGAGACTAAGGGGACTTGATGGTCGAGAGATGGGCAACAGTGTCTCTAGTAAAACATCACCAAATTAAGGCCTATGTTTAATCACCAGAGGGAGACTTTGTACAAAAGTCGATTGCTTAAGTACCTCTGTCCCATTCGTGTTTCAACCGTGAAGCAGTTGTGTTTGCATAACTGTGTTTCGGTTTGAAGGGTGGGATATGGCGTGAAATTACTGGATACAGAGGAATAACACCTGAGTCCTCAGGAATGGCAACGCATGGGGGGTATCGTGGGCGAAACAGTATACTCTGTTATGTCCATGGTACTGCTCATGTCTACAGGCGACGGTTACCACTTTCCATCAGGTGGGCCGTCAGCTTGTTTGCCATTCTAAGTTGTATAAAAAAAATAATAGTGGGCAGTTAACAGCTAATATGATGGTGTACCTGATGCATAAATGCAAAAAATAAAAGGTTACGTTTTATTTTCGTGTAAAACGAGTTATGTTTTATAATTCTCTATCTGTTTGTAGTCAGCGCTTGTCGTTACTACCTCACAATAATTCTTCAAACTATACGGATCACCATATTACTATCATATCAGCCTTTTACTGTCCACTGCTGAACATAAGCCTCCCTCTTGGGGGGTTTTGCTGGGCTTAGCAGGCGGATTGGCAACCGCAGTTAGGCTTTGGAGATGTTTTAAAAGGGACGCTGCTGCCCGTCCCTCGCCCTCCCTTAGTCGCTTTTTTCGACACCCACGGGAAAGGAAGGGGTGAACTATTCTATGCTGGGACCATACGGTCAACTATACGGACACTATCAAATAAATTTTACTAACCAAGAAAAAATATAAACAAAACTCGAACCAAATTCCTGATGTAGCTTGTTGTGATGATGATGATGATGGTGGTGTTTTTTTTTTGATGGGTGAAAACGGAATGGTAACCCCACCCGCGCTATCTGTATACACCGGCGGGGCACCAGTAAAGAGTAAGAGGTGTGGACGAAGCAGGTCAGCTAGTCCATCGTGATGAATTCATCATGATTCCAGGGGGAACCGCATGATGTCAACCTAGCTGGGTTTGGGTTTCATTGTTGGCAATGAATCAGCTAGATTCCATTACTAACAATCCCTTACCCCGTGGCGGTGATGTTGCAGTCGTGCTGTCGCTGGTGACGTGCGTGGTGGGCGGGTGGGGCGGCGGCGCGGCGGCGCTGGGCGCGCTGGGCGGCGCGCTGCTCGTGCTGCTCGCTGTGCTGTACCGGCAGCCGCGCCACCACCTCCAACATCTCAGCTTCGCGGTCAGTGGCCACTTCTTTTTAGGGTGAAAATGGTACGGTAACCCCGCCCGCGCTAACAGGATACGCTGGCGGAGCACCAGTGAAGAGTGATAGGTGAGAATGAAAACAGGCCAGTTAGCCCAACATGACGAATTCATCGGGAATTAACCACGATAAAGGACAGAGGTACCCAAGCAATCAATCGACTTTTGTACAAAGTCTCCCTCTGGTTTTCACTCCGTGTAAAAAAGCGACGTTGCCGCTTTAGTCACAGTGAACAGCTTTAAGAATGGCGTTGTTGACTAGAAAATTAAAAAAATGCATTTTATCCAATAACTATTAATCATCGCGGGACATTTACGTGTGACCAGTAGTAAAGTTCGCGCTCTTATTTCATTGCCGCGTCCAGGGCATAGTCCACGCCACGTGGTCCTCACAATTTTTTTTTATTACAGAATAAAAAATATAATTATTATATTTAATCTTCGCAAATACGAGGTTTGTCCGGAAAGTACGTATAAAAGTTTTTTAAAAATTTTATTTTACAATTATTCAGGTAAATCAATTTTATCCCCTTCAAAGTACTCCCCCTGTGACATAATGCACTTGTGCCAACGCCGTTTCCACTGTGAGAAGGCTCCTTGAAAGTCCTCTGGTTGTAGGTTTCTCAGCTGCCCCGTCGTAGCTTTTTTTATCTCATTTATGTCCCCCAAATGCCGCCCCCGAAGTACCAATTTGGTTTTTGGGAACAAGAAGAAGTCACACGGGGCCAAATCCGGCGAATAGGGGGGGTGTTCGGTCACCGTAATGGAATTTTTACTCAAAAACTCACGGACAACAAGAGAGGTGTGGGCAGGGGCATTGTCGTGGTGAAGAATCCAACGCCCCTCTCGCGCCAATTCTGGACGAACTCGTGCCACACGAGCTTTGAGGCGTCTGAGCACATCGACGTAGAATTTTCCATCAACTGTCTGGCCTGGAAGGACGAATTCTTGATGGACAATCCCCCGAACATCGAAAAAAACAATCAACATTGTCTTGACATTTGAGCGGGATTTTCTTGATTTTTTTGTTCGTGGTTCCCCGGATGTCTTCCACTCTTTGCTTTGGGATTTTAATTCGACATCAAATTCGTAGAACCAAGACTCATCTCCAGTGATAACTCGGTTCAAAAAGTCACCATTCTCTTCGGCTTCCAACCAGTCCTCACAGCAAGCAACTCTTCGTGATTTTTGATCCGGGGACAAAAGCTTGGGAACGATCTTGGCGCAAATTTTTTTCATTTGAAGTTCGTTTCTTAGAATTTCGTGGACCACGGTTTTGCCCAAATTAAGCTCTTCAGCCACCTGTCTGACCGTTAAACGACGGTCCCCATTAACACAAGTTCGAATTCTTTCCACGTTTTCGTCGGAATGTGAAGTGGAAGGACGTCCTGAACGTGGGTCATCTTGAACGCTTTCTCGGCCCTCTCTGAATCTTTTTAGCCACTTGTGGACGGTTGGTTCCTTCACAGCATCATCCCCATAAACTGTTCTGAGATCGGCAAAAATTTCACGGCCATTCTTGCCGAGTTTCGAGAGAAACTTGATTACGACGCGCTGCTCTTCAACGGAAGCGGGCTCCATGCCGACGGGGTTTCGTTAAGAGGTAACTTCACAGATGGCGTGACAAGCCAGTTCGCACCGCACGGCGGTCAGACCAGAACTGAAGCATTGTTAGGGACATAAGGAAGGGGTCCTACGCTTACCTGGCCTCCCCACTCCTCTTTCTCGCATTCCAGAACACTTTTATACGAACTTTCCGGACAGACCTCGTATGACCACATTTCTGATTTCCGCAATCAACTCAAGTGGCTTCCGATTCGCCTTTGCAGGAACTGGCACATCCTATCTCTTATTTACACTATTCTTTTCCATCCTTCAACTCCCGATTACCTCAAAATGTGCTTTGAGTTTCATGTCGATTTTCAGGGTCGTACATTGCGCAGCGCGAGATCCCTTCGTTTAGTAACTCCTATTCATTCTTCTAAATTCAATTCCTATTTTTTCACTACCCAAGCTATCCGTCTCTGGAACTCCTTGCCTCTTTTTATTAGATCAGCGCAATCTCTTGCCTCGTTCAAGAGGCAGGTAAAATCTCATTACCTAACTCTCTTATTATTATTTTTATTATAAATACATATTGCCTATTGTATGGTCCCGGCATAGAATAGGCCACCCCTTCCTTTCCCGTGGATGTCGTAAGAGGCGACTAAAGTAGGGCGAGGAATGGACAACAGCATCCCTCTTAAAACATATCCAAAGCTTAACTACGGTTGCCAATCCGCCTGCCAAGCGTGGTCACTACTGGCAAAATCTCCCATATAGGGGAGGCATATGACACCCACGGGAAAAAAAAAGATGGCCCATTCTATGCCGGGATCACAGGACTTAAAAACCCAATACAATGGACTAATCCCTCGTTCCAGGTACCCCTAGTGCCTCTAATACCGTACCTGAGTGTTTGCATGAACGTGTACCTTATGGTCCAACTGGACTACCAGACTTGGGTGCGATTCGTCATATGGCTGGCTATAGGTGAGTTCTGTTTTTATTTTTCAAACTGCTTTTACCATTTTATTATATGGCTAGTGATAGATAAAAGTCAAATAAATCATGATCTTCCTACCCTTATCCCAATTATTATTAACGGTATACTCTGTTATGTCCATGGTACTGCTCATGTCTATAGGCGACGGTTACCACTTTCCATCAGGTGGGCCGTCAGCTTGTTTGTCGTTCTAAGTTGTATAAAGAAACTCGCTTTAAATAATAATATCTGGGAGTTTCTCCAGTAGTTGCCACGCTTGGCAAGCGAGTTGGCAACTGCAGTTAGGCTTTTAAAAATGTTATAAGAGGGACGTTGCAGCCCATCCCTCGGCCATTAAGTCCCCTTAGTCGCCTCTTACGACACCCACGGAAAAGGAAGGGGTGGCCTCTTCTATGCTGGGACCACACGGCAAGGTCGAGTCCTACTAATCTATATAAATTATAATACATACATACATATCTGTCACGCCCGTCTCCCATTAGGGTAGGCAGAAACAATGGAACGCCAAATGCTTCGATTCAAACAAACCTCTTTCGCTTCCTCCACATTCATCAATCTTTTCATACACGCTCGCCGGTTACGGGTACTTTTAAATTGGCCCTTCTTCAGCACGTCGTCTATTCGGTCGACATACGTCCGTCTAGAGTGGCCCCTACCGACATCTCCATTCATTATATTAATTGTGAAATTCATTAATAATCTATAATTATTAAATATAATTATTTTTTTAATTTATGTCATGTTTTTTTTTTAATTCACCTACAGGTTACCTCATATACTTCGTATACGGCATCAGGAACAGTTCGTTGAACGAGAAGGAAATACCGATGGCGAACGGCAACGGTAAAACGGAGGACAAGCATGACATGACTACCAAGTTTTGAATAACCACTCGAAATGTACTAACAACAAGGAATTACATAGAAGGAGTGATAAAATTGTCAATTCACAGCAGGCTAGTGTATAGAAAATGTTATACGGCCGTATAACCCTACCAAATTCAGATGCAACTTGCTTGCATACTTTCTACATAAACTGTGTCGTATATATAACCTAGTAATGTAAAATTTGTCATTGACAAATAAATGACATATCAAACATTTTCTATACACTAGCCTGCTATGAATTGAGAAAAATAGCAACTGACGGTGTATCTTTCGTCCTCTTTTTACTAATTATATTTGCATAAGAAAAAAGGAGGCAGCCATATGATTTACAGTTTTTATTTTATCATTCCTTCTATGTAATTCCTTGTTTTTAGGAAATGTATACAGTAATATGACTATGGTTACAAGTAATGCAGGGATAGTCCTAAAATGTGCGGGTCACCTGTTTTTTATGTACGTGGCATATTTAGTAAATAATATTTATATATCTTTTTTTGTAAGTAGTTATTTAAAAATAGGACAAACAAACAAATATCATCGTCATCTTCACCATTTCGGCCGTTATCCATCCACTGCTGGGCATAGGCCTGCCCTATAGACTGCCATAAGGAACGGTCTTAAGCCACCTACATATATTCGCTGACTCCCTGAAATGCATTTGAGAAAAAAATGCTAAATCATAAATAAGTACATACCTAATTAATAAAAAAACTTTTTTTTAATAATTAGGTAATTAATAAAAACTATTTTTTTTTTATATAAAATTAATATATGTTAAATAAGTAATTAATTGTAAATTGTGTTGTAAAATCTTTATTGTAAATAAATTATATTGGACATATTAAAAGATCTAATATACAATGGCGGACTTATCCCATAGAGGGATCTCTTACAGTACTTGAATGACATTGCACTTATTAATAATAAAATATAAAACCATAAATAAATTAAAATTATAATTAAATAATTATAAATAGTTTATTTTTTATATAACAAAATTTACTAAATATGCCAAATATAAAAAAGAAATTAGATATAAGTACTTTTGTGGTTTCAAAATTATTATAGTTTTTTTTATTAAGGCCTCAACAACTTAGCCTTTGTACTAATTTCCGACAGTGACGAATAGGGTTACCGACTGTGCCTATAGTTAAATTAGGTTTAAAATGGGTGAAAACCATTTTACAGGGTTTTAAAATAGTATATTTAATCAGAGTGAAATCTTTTAATCGTTAATATTCAATTTAGAGAGTATTTTACCAGTTAAAATAGTAATTTTGATTTTCACCACCGTACTACAACCCGCCACAAACTAAAGTTTCATCCCAATCATCTGGACGAGTGGCGGTCTTCCACCGTGCGTTTTTCAAGGCACTTTCTTCCACGCACAACCATTCAGTGGAATCAACTTCCAGTAGCAGTATTTCCTGTGTTGTAAAAAAAATTCTAAAGAAACGTATATTTTCGTAAAAAAAACGATAAAACATTTTAAGCCTCTCTTAACACGACACGACCGGCTGTCAAATTAATATGAGATTATTTTTCAACCCATATTTCTTCAGGGGGAGCGTTCCGTTTCACTAGCAAAATACTTTCTTAAAAGGGTGCTAATGTTTTAAATTTTACCATGTATAGTAGAAATAGAGAAAACAATACACACAACAATTTTAAAGACATAACATTTGTTTGAGACAAATTTTAGAAGCGCGTGAGTACCGTACCTTAAGTGTTGCCATTTCTAAATTTACTTTCTTCTATTTTTTTTTTTTTATATATATCTTAATTTTTTATTTCTGTATTTAAATATTCGTGTATGAATTTGACGGCGAATTAACGTACTTATTAATTGTATTTTTTTATCCATTAATTGTTTATAATCAGTTCAAGTGTTCGTAATACATTTTGTTTTTCTTGTAAACAACATGTGTACTCGTTTAGACTACTGACTTTATTAAAGTGACATAGAGTAATACGTATATTAGAAACTTATGCATTGCAAAGTAATCTTCAAGCAATTTTGAATTAAAACTATAACGATTAATTGTAATTATCACCTAATTAACCTAAACAAAATTTTACAAGGAACTCAGAAAACATAATGAAATCAAATAGTAAAAGACTTGGTTTTGGTTTTAATATCAATTCTCAGAATATTGGTGTAGTATATATTTACACTTTATAACTTAGAAAAAGGAATGAGTAAGTTGGAAATTTACTTACTAATGAATGCTAATGTTTGTGTTAGGTGGGGATTACACCTTATCCCCTTTACTCATAAACACTAGAAATCTTCTACAAACGTTTTTTTAGTTACTAAAGTGTTTTATTACTTTCTTTCTAATTAAAAATGTATTGCAAGTGAAAAAAACAAAACAGTAGCTAAAATAGCTTTATGAGAGGTTTGTTTTTTTTTTTTTTTTAAATAATGTTTAATTTTTTTTATAAAATAATATTACAACTAAGTAAATACCATGACCATTAAAGAAAGGTTAATTAAATTAATAAATAATTTAGAGTGTAATCGTGACGAAGCGTCTGTCTTATCGAAATTTCTATACAATAGTACAAATTGGAATTAAGAAAACTTGATATAGTCCATTTGACTGGGAAGCAACAAAATCTATGTAGAACAAGCTGTTTCCCGTGACTTCGCTCGCGATTACCAATAGCTCTTATTTAATAAATACTGCATTATCATGGTATATTTATTGTACTTAAATTTATAATGGAAATATTTTTTCTTTAGAAAACTACATTATATTTTCTTAAAATATATTTTTTTCTTTAGGCTTTAGACTTTTTCTTTAAACATATTTTGTTTAGTCTTCGAAGACTCTAAATGAATTTGTTTATTTAAAAAAGTTTATTTTTTTTTTTAATTTGGAAATATATAAGTTTTAAGAAATTATACAGGGAATAAACTTTTATCTAGTAGAATATATTAAATTTACATTTATTTTAGAAAGGTAGGTATGATATTAATTTTGTCTAAGGATAAACTTATATAAGTGAATTATGTACCTATTTTATTTTATTACTTATAATGATCTTTAAAATATGTTAAAATTGTATAAATTACTTCCATTCCTATAACTCCTGTGAAAAAATGTAAAGCACAGTTTATATTATTTTCATATTTTAAACTAGATCATATATATGTAGATAGAGCTTAGAGTGTCAAAAATACCCTAAAAAAACGATTAATCATATAAAGCATCTGTATGGTGACACTCTTGTCTATGTAATTCAAAATTTTAGTACATTCAACTTGTACAATTCCAGTGATAACTATGTAACGACAAATTTATACACACTAGTTTAATGTGATATACACAAATAGATGATGTAAGTTGTATTGTTAAATTAGAAGAGACGCCTATTTGTTCTAAACGGGTTAAACCCAACGTAGATAAAATAGTGTTTACGAGCCATTTCTACGCATTGTATTATGTTGTTAATTTATATAGAAATGTAGCTATCATGAATATTGAAACTTGAACCGAATGAATCAAGAAATTAACTGTAAAATAAAAAAATTAAAAGTTATAAAAAAGACATGAAAAAAAAGTTAGAAATTTTTCAAATTTGTATAGTTTCGATCATTTTAACACTATGATTGATTAGGTTTATGACGTATAAAACATCACTCTTCATCTATGGGTCCGATTTCTATATGAACGAATATCATGGTATGCAGAAAATTCGGCTTAGGATCTTCGGATTCAAGCTTCATGATAGAGCTACAAATAAGGGCTCTTTCTCATACTTACTGCACTGTTTATAAGAGTGTTTACGCAGAGGGCTCTTTTCATGTAAACTCTGAACATAGCCCGCTATTGTTGCTTTATGAAGTGGCCCTAACAAACAGTTTTTTTTTTTTTATTTTGCTTTACTTTTGCTTGAATATTAATGTGACATCTACATGAGAGCGAACTTACCAGAAACTGTTATGTGTCATAGACAATTGTTTATTAATTTACAATGAAACTACTCTATGGTCGTTTCAATTGTAAGAAACATGCCTAATAGTTTGTATGTAGATAAAGGCTTATATTTTTTTTACTATTTTGTACACATTTAGTTTTATGAAAAGTCTACGCAATTAGTACTGTATAAGGGACTAAAAGCAGTGCGTTCATGTATCATACATACAAATATAGCACAAAGGATTCCTTAGAGACTCACATAATATGCATAATTCAATGTTATAGAAACAGATTTATCATTCTTAACAATTATATATTCCGTTTTGTTTTACATAAAATTTAGTAAAAAATTTCATAGAATTACTTAATATTATAAATAAATAATAATTTACTTAGATGTTTAACAGAAACATCGATAAAAAACACCCGCTAGAGTGGTTTCATTTAAAATGCACGTGATTTGATTGTGAGACAATATTTGTGATGTAACTTAGTAGACATAAGTTCTAGTTTTAATTTTAACTGTGATTTAACGGAGATAGATTGTAACATTATGAGAATAAATTATTTTTAATTGAGAATAATAGTTATTTATAAACTTACACGTGTTCGTGTACAACGAAAGTCACTTTTAGTAGCAATTTTCAAGTACTTTCAAGCAACTTCAAAAAACAAGCAGGTTATTAATTCGGATGAATTTCTTTTACGTTTGTTACCTCATCGCTCCATCATTTGTAAATCGATTTGGAAAATTCTTGTTTTTCTGTGAAAACATAGAAGTTTTATCAAAATTGTTTCAGTTTCATTATATATTACTGAATTTACCGAGTACAGAGGAATAACATCTGAGTCCTCAGGAATGGCAACGCATGGGGGTATCATGGGCGAAACAGTATACTCTGTTATGTCCATGGTACTGCTCATGTCTATAGGCGACGGTGACCACTTTCCATCAGGTGGGCCGTCAGCTTTTTTGCCATTCTAAGTTGCATAATAAAAAAGAAACTAAAGTTTTTAATTTTATGGTGACGAAATTCATAATTATTAAAATTAAAAACATATCACAAGCCATACTGTTTATTAAAACACAATTAATGCAAATTTACAAAACACTTAAAAAGCTAGTTTCTTTTCAATTTTCACAGCGCTCATTGATAGGAAAGATTTTGTCTTAATATCATAATTTGTACCTAGAATCCCATACATACATATTAATTCATACAAAAAAAATACAAAATTATTCCTATTTGCATATAAGTAGAAATGGTAATATCTAACATCTATATTTTGCTTTCTTCTGGACATTCATGACATTGCAATATCGCTCATACCAGTCGGATATATATATATATATATATATATATATATATATATATATATATATATATATATATATATATATATATATATATATATATATATATATATATATATATATATATATATATCCATTACATTACGAGCGGGTTTTTCTTTCAATATTATATATTGGCCTAGCGGCCCGTCCCAGCTTCCCGTCCCGCACGGATGAACATTTTTACATTTTAAAAAGTGGCCATTAAGCCTGCACACGCGACGGAAGCTTAAAAGTAACTTCTCCCGTTTTCCCAACATTTCCCTTCACTGCTCTGCTCCTATTGATCGTAGCGTAATGAAAAATATACTACAACCTGCCCAGGAGTATGATGAATAATTGTACCAAGTTTCGTTAAAATATGTCGAGTAGTTTTTGTTTCTATAACGATAACCAATCTATTTATCTATACTTATAATAAATCTGTAGAGAGGTCAATTCTGTACATGAAATATATTTCCAAAATAACTATCAGGCGGTGATTAGTGGTCGATACTGATGCTAAAAATGCAATCAGCAAAATTTTTGCTTGTCTGTCTGTCTGTATGTTCGTTATAGAAATAAGAACTACTCGAAGGATTTTAAGGAATGCACACTAATTCCCGTAAGTACGCAGTTGAAATAATATAGGTAGGTACATACATATAATTGTATGTATATATTTGTGTTTCTATATTAGAATTGTCCATCGTGTACAATAGCCTTAACAATGAAACTGTTTAAATAAATAAAATTGTATGTACTCTTTGATGTTACAGGATTAAAAGAAAAAGTTTTTGAACACTATAGTTAGTCACGATTATGTATATTTTGGATAATATATAAATCAGAGGTTCCCAAACTGTACCAATAAATTTTGTCACAGGATCTTTGCCTAATTATCATTAAAAAATAGATATTTTTTATTATTGTACACTAAGATGTACAAACAGTAATACACTAAAATTAAACTATAAATGCATACCAAACAGACAAACTTTGAGAACCCCTGATTTTGAGAAGAAAAATACAAGTAATAATATTGCACGGTGAGAATATTCGAGAAAAAGAAAACTAAGTACATAAAGTGCTTGATTCATAACACACAAAATTAATTCAAAGTGGTATTGGAATCAAAATAATTTCATAATCATATACTAGCGTCACTGTACTGGGAAAACCTGGTAAGAGACATAATTTCGAATTTAAAAAAAAAATCCTATACAGACTTAGTAGAGACAAAATTCACTGTATAATGTTCTAATCTATATATATAATAAAAGATTGTGTCCCACAAAAAAAAAACTAGTTCAATTGTGACAAAATCAGATATTTTAATTTAAAAACTAAACTACAGAACTGATTTTGACATCTCTATGGGACCAAACTATATCTTATCACATAAAAAAAGAATTTTCCAAATTGGTTTAGGACTTACGGAGATATGAGGTGACAAACATAAAATACAACAAATAGAGACCCTCCTTTTTTTAAAATCGGTTAAAAAATCAATTGCTGTTCGTTCATCTAATCTCGTTAATGAGACGAGGTCAAGACCAATTTGAATATTATAATAACAAAGGGGTGGTTTCAAAGAAAAACTAGTCTGTTAAACCCTAGAGTTCAGGGGGGAAAGGGATTGTTAGTAATGGAGACTGAGAATCCCATTGCTAGCAATATACCCAATCAGGTCGACCTCCTCGCGGTTCTCCCTGGAAACTATCATGGTTAGTTCCTGATGAATTCATCATGATGGGCTAACTGGCCTGTTTTCATTCTCATCTATCACCCTTCACTGGTGCTCCGCCAGCGTATCCCGTTAGCGCAGGCGGGGTTACCATACCATTTTCACTCATAAAAAAAAAACCCTAGAGTTCAATTAAAAATAGCAAAATTATCAATAGAGAATTATTAATGTATGGAAATCACTATTTCGGATTACTTTTAATAGATGGCGTTATAGGTGGAACGATATTCTTCCAGTCGTCATTATATATAAACTACCCTCACACTAGTAGTATCACTTGTTCTGTATAAAATATATTATTATGAAATTTGTTTTAATGCACATACATGGTTTTCATAGTACTGTGACGATAGGTAACAAATGAAAATACGTCCCGCCTGGTGGTAAGCTGTTCCCGAGACCACCAATGGCAGGCCGTGTGGCAAACATATACCAGGAATACAACATAGAGTTGCCAACTAACTTTATTTCACTGTAAAATACATTTTACTTTTAAATAAAGTTAAATGTATTTATATATACTTTATTTTTTAATAAAATAATAAATAAAATAGCATTTAATCAATAATTTGTTTTAATAAATTAAAATACATTCAGAATTTCGGAACAAAATTAAAAGAATTAATAATTTATATACTTAAATGCTTTTGTACAATTAATTTTAATAATTATTTATTGTTTATTTAAAACAAATATAAATTAACAAGTTCTTTTTGCACCAAATAAATATGTCTTAAAGACTTTTAAAAATACTTTTATTTTCACATAAATACTGTCTTATTTTATCTAAAATTAATTTTTTAGAATTCACAGTCAAATTGCTAAAATTATATTGCATTGCTTCATCGTGTCACTCCGAATAATTTTTGCTCAAAACCCAATATATTTTTTTTTATATGTTGGCAACCCTATTACAAAAGTAGTATCAACTACAATCTTTTCTAAAAAAAAAACCCCAAGAATAGTACCAAACTAATCTATTTTAAATACACAATCGGGACTTAACGCGATGTAAAAGCCTTTACAGGTAAATAGTACTTACATACTTAAGTACCTACATATCTAAGTACCTAAATACCTACGTACCTACATATCTAAGTACCTAAATACCTACGTACCTAAGTACCTACATATCTAAGTACCTAATTACCTACGTACCTAAGTACCTATATATCTAAGTACCTAAATACTTACGTACCTAAGTACCTACATATCTAAGTTTCTAAATACTTACGTACCTAAGTACCTACATATCTAAGTACCTAAATGTTTACGTACCTAAGTACCTACATACCTAAGTACCTACGTACCTAAGTACCTATATACCTAAGTACCTACATACCAAAGTACCTACGTACTTACATATACCACGACGTGGTGCAATCCATGTCGAAACGTCGGTAATAAAGAAGCTATCACGATTGTGTATTTAAAATATGTGTAAACAACGGAAGAGTTTAAAATCAAACTATTCTATCCATAGAACCGTTTCGGTTAGCGTTCGCATTAGAAAGAGACAGACATCGACTATCGTCATCTCACTCTATCTGATGTATCGCTAGCGATAACGAGTCTGTCGATAGAATTTACCACTTATCTACAATAGAAAGGAGTTACTTCTCCAGCCGAGCGAGGAATGGTCTCTCAACATGTATTTACATGTACATAAGTATTTACTTAATTAACGGTGAATCTGATTCACTTATCCTAAAGTGCTGTTGCACAGCCCTAATACTGAAATCACAACACGCTATACACGATGCAATATGGTCCATTCTTAGATTATATACATAGAGTGTCTCCATACAAATGCTTCGAGAAAAACGTATCAACTTTTTCAAACAATTTCGCCCGATTAATAATTATGAGTGATTACTCCGTCACCTCTATGGCAAATGTACGAATCTGCAGTTTTTTTCAAATTTCATATTTCTTTAAAAATCTACATTTTGCGCCATACTACTTATTGTGGCTTATTTTCAAATTTCTATCTCTAACGGTTAAAGAAAACGATTAAATAAATGATTTTCTTTGGCAACTTACGAAACTGCCACTTTCGTAGATTTGCTGTTATAGGTATAACTCAATACCTAGGAACTCTCATGTATGAAGGTGCAAAGTAACGAATATGCATTTATTTCTGATATTTGTAATATAATAATAATTAATTAAGCGCATTCAATAAAAAACAGGATTTTAAAACTAAAATGTTAGCATGATCTTTTACAGTATAGTCTTCTGTCAAAAGTTATTTGCATTCTAATGTTTCAAAACGTTCCACTGTAAAATGTATCTTTTACAGTTTCCTAAGTTTACCATAAAGGTGACGACTTCATAACTTCTATATTCATCTTATAATTTCTGCATCTTTTTAATGCGCAAAAATTCATTTTAAATATTAAATAATACGTCAAGATACATTGTGTGCGTAAGTATATAGAACACCGATAAAAAAAAACGAGTCAGCTAATTTGACAATTTAGCTGTCAAAAAGTTTTTTGAGTCGAAGACCAGTTTTTTGAGACTCGTTGCTCTATCTATGTAATCTAAGAGTCGTTTACATAAACATACTTTGGTGAAATATATAGGAACCAAAATTGGAGATTTCTAAGTACAGTTTCTAAGTATTTGTGTAATATACATATAAACATTGGGCATTAGGGAAACAACTGCAATATTTTGATGCTTGAAATTATAGGCGACATAATAGTCACCCCCTTATTCAGAAAAACTAAAACTTCCTACAAACCTATTATGACTATTACACTATTTTGTCACTTTCATTCAAACTGAGAATTTAGAACAAAAGAAAGGGACAAAACAGTTCAATAGATACAATAGGTTTTTATGAATAAGAGAGTATATATATATATCAATGTTGCCATGTGTGAGAAAGTTTATAATTTACTTCTATATATTTTATTACAAAAAATCAAAATAACAAAAAAAAAGTGTTGACGTTAATATTTGTTTTTTTTTATATATATATATTTTTAATAAAATAAATATTCAGTATAAAGGATTACACTAATATCAGACAATACAGTGTAAAACTATCGCTTCATAGAAACACAGTTGTTTCCCATAAAATATAATTATATAAATAAATAGACGACACAATATTAATATCCCATGTAGGAGATCCATCATACCTAAGAGTCCAGTGATCACCTCACCAAATAAGTTACAACTGAAATCTCTACATTTTGATATTATGACGTTTTACAAAAAGTGCAGAGAATAGAAAAAAAAAAAAAACAAGAGCCAAAATAAAACTAAGTAAGGCCAGACTAAAAAAGATGATATAAAAAAAACCAAGTACAGCAACGAAAGAATACTCATAATAAGTTAGAATAATTTAAGATTGTATCCCACAAAATTTTACTGTGGCAACACTAGTTATTTATTGTTACAAGTTACGATAACAGTTTGCAAAAAAGTAATGAGCACGCCATTTAAAAAGAAAACAATACAAAAATCTATCTATTTTATATGCAGTTTGTCAACCTTACATTGTAAACATCATTTAGCGGTAAGTTAGAAGTAAACGTTACAACGCGTTTACAGACGTACATTACATTATTGATTACAGTTATGATCCAAATTTATTCCATTTCCAAATTATACAATAACTTCTTAAAACTTTTTGATTTTAAAATGACTACAGAATCGATTTTGTTAAAAAAAAAGTTACAAGGTAACAAATGAATGAATGAATGAGTATACTTTATTTGCATTATACAATATAGGGAATAAGCAAGACAATTTACAAACACTACGATACAACTGTATAAGTACAGTAAGCATAAATATAAAATGGTAGAAAAAAAACTACCAAATTGAGGACTTTCTTTTTAAAGTCTATTTAAAAAAAAAGAGTGAGCGTTTTTACCCATATTTTTTTTCTTTACAATTTTTAATAACATCTCAAATGAGGAAGACTTAAACAAAAGTAAATTGCTTGGCTACCTCTGTCCCATTCGTGTTTCTACCGTGAAGCAGTTGTGTTTGCATCAACATAAATAAAAAAAATCAACTACTTTCATATTTGATTTCATCGTATTTTGGATAAATTCCGTATTACGATGTGTTTCTGTGATTCTTGTTTCAATCTTTTTATTTAGGAGACATGTCGATTAATCATAGATTTCCGATTGGTATGAAAACAATCAATTAAATTGATTAGAAGTTGATGGGAGTATCAACGTGTTCCCACCCTTCAAACCGAAACACAGCCATGCAAATACAACTGCTTCACGGTTGAAACACAAATGAATGAAATATACGAAGTTGCTTATAAATTTCCATTCACATGGTATTGTCGCAGAAAATCAAAAGCTTCCAATACACTATACATACTGTATTTTATCGTACAATTTTATCGTCGCGATATAATAATCCTCTATTATATCGTGACGATATAATCGTACGATATCATACTGCGATACAGTAAATTAACACTCAATACAATTTAAAGTCATACATAATGATTTGTATGCAATTTTTTAATATACAAATGCTAAATGCAATAATTATATTGTCTGCCATAGCGCGTTAGTGGTCCCAATTCCTACTGTTACAGTCTATAAGCGTCAAGCAACTAAATACGATTATCAGTGACGCACTCGCCTTCGACACATAATATACCTAAAAAGGGGAGAGGATTGTTAGCAATGGGGGATAACAGCCCCATTGCTAGCAATATAACCCATCAGATCAGACTCTAATTATTGTTAGCAGTACTATAATAGAACATAAGTCCCGTCTTTATATAGGCATACGTTTTTTATATTTGTTGTTTTAAATCTTGTACAAAAACTCTCACCTCTCTCTCAAAAAAAATGTTTTTTCTTTATTTTTATATGGGGTCGAGTCGTAGACAATAAGAGCAAAGGAGCGGAAAAAAATTTATGCTCTCGAGATGTGGTGCTGACGAAGGATGCTGCGAATTCATTGGACAGCAAAGCGATTGAACACATCTATCCTGACGCAACTCCGCATAAAAAATAAGCTCTCGACAGTCTGCTGTCGAATACTTCGGTCATATTGCTTGTCGACAGTCCAAAAATCTGGACAAACTAATGGTCGTAGGCAAGACAGAGGGGAAAAGACCACGCGGACGATCACCTGGTCGATGGTCGAACCAAGTAACCGCCGTTACCGGAGTATTAGTTGCAGCTGGCCTGCGAGAGGCTGAAGACAGTGCAAAATGGAGAAATATCATAAGAGAGGCAACAGACGCCTTTCAAGGACACGACCTTCAGTAATGAAGTGGACAAAGAGAGAGAGAGAATATAAAAAAAAAAACTGGAAATGCTTTTGTTCCAATAAACCATTTAGCAAATGGATTTTATTCTATTCTTTTCGATATTCCTCATATTTTTTTCCCCCAATTTTTGGGATCCTGTATATGTATATGGACCCAATTTTAAACATCTTTTTCTAAGTATATTATATGTCAGATACTTTGATTAAACTTACACATATAAAATGATATATAGCAACAGCATAGTATGTCGCATTTCAACATAATAATTTTAAATAACTATACAAAATTCAAATACTGGATACAAAAGATATGACGGTACCACTAGGGCTGATCGCATCTCTTTCTGTCTCCCGTCTCCCGCCGGCTGTTTCCCTCACTCTATCCCCCTCTCTTACTCTCTCTCCCTCGTGTCAGCCGACCGTGTGCTGTAGACCGTTATTCAGCAGTGCTGTCTGACTGTCGTGGAACTGAGTCAATTGCACGGAGTCCTGGGTTCGACGTCTTTCACTGCTATGCCACACGCCGTATGTAACGTAGATTAGAAGACCTGGAATAGGATTTAGAGTTTATTTACCAACTATCACAATTTTTGCCATAATCATACCATAACACAAACGTAATAAATTCATAAAATTCCGTTATACGTATATATACCATAGACATAATTAAAAAACGAACATGTTTTTTTTTTAAATAACATTATCTTACCAGCGGCGATCCAGACCGCGAACCGGATCCACGTCATATAATCCAGATTCAGCATCAGGTACACATTGATGAGGATGCTGAGACCGGGCAACCAAGGCACCAGCGGCACCTGAAAAGAAACGATTTACAGGTGACATCAGACATACGATTTAGGGGCATTCTGACCCAAAACTAAACATTTGTTCACAACCAAATTTCATAGAATAACAAATCAAAAAACAGTTTAAAATGTTTCTAAATTAAATAAACAATATCAAATCAGCCATTAACTGTCTATTGCTGAACATAAGTCTTCCCCATAAGGAGAGGGGGGGGGGGGGTTCAATGATGATAATGGAATGATAACCCTGCCTGCGCTAACGGTATAGATTGGTAGGGCACTAGTGAGGGATGATAGCTGACAATGATAAGGCAGGTCAGTTAGCCCATCGTGATGAATACACCTGGAATTCAACACAATGGCTTTCAGGAAGGACCGCGTGGAGGTCGACTTGACAGGGTATATTGCTAGCAATGGGACTGGTAGTCCGCAACACTAACAATCCATTCCCCCGGGAGGGGGAGGGGGTACCAATAGTAGTTAGTCTTTGGTGATGTTTTAAGAGAGACGCTGCTGTTAATCCCTCGACCATTAAATTGCCTTAGTCGTCTCTTACGACACCCACGGGAAAGGAAAGGGTCTTCCAGCAAACCCCAAGAAGAAAGGAGCATGAATGTCAACTATAAGTATGTTACACGATTACTATATTAAAAGAACAGAAACCAAATAGATATTATTCCAAAAAAAAAATACCATCTTTAACCCAGGCAAGTCCAGTTATTTTATATTAAAAACTCAAACAAGTAAATTTTTTTATTTTATCAAAATTTCTATGAGACCAATCTGAATTTTTTTTTCAAATAAAAATAGAATTTTCAAATAAGTTTACAGCTGACGGAGTTATGAGGTAACAAACATGAAAAAAAATATAACTTAATTGTGAACTTCCTTTTTTCGAAATCGGTTGAAATACCACTAATTTGTAGACACTCCTTTCTTTGAAGTGTATTAACCAAAATCGAAGATATAACAATAATACTTATGCCATTAAGAGACTACCGACTAAACCGTCTTTAAAAAAAAAACGTTCACGCTCACTTTTTTACTTTATCCGAGCAATAAGTGCTTTATATTATTCTCAATTTCGTGTATAATATAGTATACGTCATATATGTGTAAGTATATTTGTTATTTATATATATTTATTCATTTATATATGTAATTCTAGTACGTATGTATATCAATAATTAGTAGTACCGCATTCGAGTATTCTGACACTTCCCTATGGTTGAATGGGAGAGAATGCTTTTAGCATTAAGTCAGCCATGTACACACATTTGTACTAATGAATAAATAAATACTTACAGAGAAAGCCAATTTCTTCTCCGAGACCGGCTGCCTGGATATGGCGTACAGCGTGAACACAACCAGCACAACTCCAATGACCAGCATGGCGGTGGGACCAGCCTCACCTCGCAGTATCGCGTCCCCGTACTTGTTGATACTCGACATCATTATGAAGCACCACACGCCTGGGGAATTTATACATTACTAGCCTGCTGCTTTGACGGTGCGGATAAATGGTATAAAGGGTGTAAGGGACAGGTTGGCAAAAACTGAAACAGTGTTTACATGGCTATGTTTCGGTTTGAAGAGTGGGATATGCCACTGAATTTACAGGGTACAGAGGAATAACACCTGAGTCCTCGGGAATGGCAACGCATGGGGGGTATCATGGGCGAAACAGTATACTCTGTTATGTCCATGGTACTGCTCATGTCTATAGGCGACGGTTACCACTTTCCATCAGGCGGGCCGTCAGCATGTTTGCCATTCTAAGTTGTATAAAAAAAAATTATGACACAATATTAGTAAAAACAGGAAAGAAATTTGAAATTTTCTGGAAAGAATTTCCACTGATTTTCAGTTCAGAATGGTTTGAATTTACTTTTTTTATGGCAACAAGTGGCAAGCTTAATGCCGTATGGCATTCTCTACCAGCTAACCGTTAGGTAAAAACAGAAAGCGTATGAAGGGCAGATGTGGTGAAAAATATGTGACAATTATAGTAAAACATTAAGGCAATCTCAGTAAGATATGTACCGTAAGTGGAGACGAGTGCGGCGACGAGCGCGGCGCTGGCTCTGGTGGGCACCGCGTGGGGGTCGGGCGCGGCCCACACGGCCGCCAGCGGCCGCAGCACGCCGCGCACCGACAGCGGCGGCGCGGCCACTCGCTGCGACGCCGCGCTGCACTCGTACCTGCGTGCAACGTGCAAAGAAGTTACATCATTATCGTACAAGCCATTAAATGTCCACTGCTGGGCATACTGATATTTAAAACAAAGACGTTACTGCCCATCCCTCGCCCTCCCTTAGTCGCCTCTTACGACACCCACGGGAAAGGAAGGGGTGGCCTATTCTATGCCGGGACCATACGACCAGCCAGTCTATCATGAAATGAAATTCCGAAATTTCGAACTCCATTTCGTGTTTTTATTTATACCAAAATCGGACCAATAAATGGAGTTTAACATTTCGTTCGTCATACATCCTATCATAAAAGTCCAAAGGAACAATATTTTAACATTTTAAATATTTCCAAACATGCATGCATTATGTAATTTTAACATCAAATTTCTGCTTCGTTTGGCTCCGAAATTTCGGAAAACATTTCATGGTAGGCTCTCAGTTTTTAAGTTTTATGTTTATTGCGTATTATGTTATTATTTATGTTTGTTACCTCATAACTCCGTCATCTATAAACTGAATTGTTTTTTTTTTTTCACTAAATACCTATTTTCAAAAAATATGTTTAGTAAAAAACAAACATCATAAGCTTGCCTGGAAGGAATCATTCAGCGAAAATAACGTCCACTATTATCTCTTTACTTTGTTTCTTGTATAAATAATACAAGTTACAAATGTATGTTGACATTAATAATTTGTATGATTCGGGGAAACAAAGAGTTTTTCATTCGCTCATTCCATTCATTTATTCCATCTACTCATTCTAGTCAGCCATTCATTAACTTCATTCATTCAAACACATTAACAACTAAAATTAATAAATTATTTATTTATTTATTCATTAGTACATATATGTGTACATGACGGACTTAATACTAAAAGCATTATCTCCCAGTCAACCATAGGGAAGTGTCAGAATACTCGAATGCGGTACTACTAATTATTGATATACATACATACTAAAATTACATATATAAACGAATAAATATATATGAATAACAAATATACTTACACATATATGACATATACTATATTATACACGAAATTGAGAATAATATAAAGCACTTACTGCTCGGATAAAGTAAAAAAGTAAGCGTGAACGTTTTTTTTTTGAAAGACGGTTTAGTCGGTAGTCTCTTAATGGCATCAGGAAGTGCGTTCCAGAGTCGTGAAGAATGTAGGAGAAAAGAGTTTGAAGCGTAACCAGTACGGTGAGAGGGGAATGACAGTTGGAGAGTATTAAAATATAAAATACCTGAGCAATAGAACGCATGAGGCGACCATAGAGTACGCGAGGAGGGTACCAATAGACATCATGTGGATCAGCTGCTCTAATTTGAAGATCATAGCCAGGGTACCTGCAATATAGATTAGAACAAACATATCAACAGTGTGCGAAACGGAACGCAGACATAGACAAATGGAAAGACCACGCGGGAAATGGTTATTATAATTCTTTTTTAATATATTCTTTTTTTTTCATCCGACTTAAAAAAAACAGGTTCTCAATTCGGTAGTATCATTTTATGTTTGTTGCCTCATAACCCCGTCAGTTATAAATCAATTTGGATTTTTTTTTTTATCTGAACGGTTTTTTTTATACAATTTAGAATGGCAAACAAGCTGACGGCCCACCTGGTGGAAAGTGGTAACCGTCGCCTATAGACATGAACAGTACCATGGACATAAAAGAGTATACTGTTTCGTCCATGATTCCCCCATGCGTTGCCATTCCTGCAGACTTAGATGTTATTCCTCTGTACCCTGTAAATTCACGCCATATCCCCCACCCTTCAAACCGAAACACAGCCATGCAAACACAACTGCTTCACGGTTGAAACACGAATGGGACAGAGGTACCCAAGCAATCGACTTTTGTACAAAGTCTCCCTCTGGTAAATATAAATACGGTTATATATACTTACAAATTGATCCCATAAAAATTCTAACGAAATCGATTAAGCACTTTAGTTTTTTGGAGCTAAAATAACTGATTTTGTCACAATTGAAGTTGGACACCATCATTCATTCATTTTATATAAAAAAAATATGGGTTCTTCGAAAAAAAGTATTTTAAGGTACCTTCAGGGGGTCTTTTTTTAATGGGTGATAATGGTATAGTAACTGTGTGTGGTATACACTGGCGGGGCACCAGTGATAGATGACTGATGAGGATGAAAGCAGGTCAGTTAGCCTATCCTGACGAATTCAATTAGAATTAGCTACGATGGTTTCCAGGGGGAACCACGCGGAGGTCGACCTGACAGAGTATACTGCTAGTAATGGGGCTATTTGACACCATTGCTAACAATCCTTTCCCCCCACCTCCAGGGGGTCAGCGGCGCGCACTTGCTTAAAGTTTTCCAGATTGAAACAAGTTGAATTGAAAAACAGCACGCACTTACTTTCCAGTACTAAGTTTTCCAGACTAAAACAGTTTTTAAACTGCAAGCATACCGGTGAAGAGTCCGGCGACGATGGTGCCGACGAGCGGCGTCTGGAAGCGCTGGCTGACGCGGCCCATGCAGCGGAACAGCAGCCCGTCCGACGACATCGCGTAGATGATCCGCGGCAGCGGGAACACCGCGCCCAGCAGGCTGCGCATGCCAACAGACAGCTTCACTTTATTATTTCATTCGTTCTCACATTCAATCATACATTAATCGTTTATTTGTTGTAAACAACAGGGTGCAGTAATAAAACATATATTTCCAGAGAGAGACTTTGTACAAAAGTCGATTGCTTGGGCACCTCTGTCCCATTCGTGTTTCAAATGTAAAGCAGTTGTTTGCATGGCTATGTTTCAGTTCGAAGGGTGGGATATTGCAAAGAATTTACAGGGTACAGAGGAATAACACCTGAGTCCTCAGGAATGGCAACGCATGGGGGTATCATGGGCGAAACAGTATACTCTGTTATGTCCACGGTACTGCTCATGTCTATAGGCGACGGTTACCACTTTCTATCAGGTGGGTCGTCAGCTTGTTTGCCATTCTAAATTGCATTATCAAAAATATTCATTTGATATTTCTCCATCCAATCACTCATTCATTCTTCCATTCGTTCAACCAGATGTTTATTCAATCGTCCATTGGTATTGTCATTCATTCAACATACACGTCTCATTCCTCCATTAAATCATTACTGGGAATACATCGTTTACCTGGAGCAGAGTGCGCAGATGGCGCCGACGCTGACCGCATACTTGGCCCACGACCAGCCCAGACGATCGTACACGAACGGGAAGGGAGCTTTTTCATCCTGAAAATATGATGATATATATTTCTTATAGTTTATTAAAGTCGATTGCTTGGGTACCTCTGTCCCATTCGTGTTTCAAATGTAAAGCAGTTGTGTTTGCATGGCTGTGTTTCCGTTTGAAGGGTGGGATATGGAAGTGAGTTTACAGGGTACAGAGGCATAACCCTTAGTCCTGGGGGGAAAGGGATTGTTAGTAATGGAGACTAAGAATCCCATTGCTAGCAATATACTCAACCAGGTCGACTGATGAATTCATCATGATGGGCTAATTGGCCTGTTTTCATTCTCATCTATCACCCTTCACTGGTGCTCCGCCAGCGTATCCCGTTAGAGCAGGCGGAGTTACCATAGAATTTTCACCCATCAAAAAAAAAACACCTTAGTCCTCTATAGGCGACGGTTACTACTTTCCATCAGGTGGGCCGTCAGCGTGTATGCTATTCTAAGTTGCATAAAAAAAGACCAATACGAAAGTAGATAAAGCCAGAGATTTTCACTTGGTTTTCTCTACGAAATCCTGTACGAGGCGAGGCGTGGTGGAGTGGCAGCGGATTGCCTCACCTGCATGTAGTAGGGCAGCATGAGCGTGAGCACGGAGGAGACGCCGCAGTAGGCGAGGAACACCACCAGCAGCGACGCCACCACCGCGAACGGGATCGACTTCTGCGGCCGCCGCGCCTCTTCGCCCGCCGTCGCCACGCAGTCGAAGCCTGCCCGACCAATCGCCCAATGAAAGTAACACTCAATCGCATAGTATAAAACAAAGTCGCTATCGCTGTCTGTCCGTCCCTATGTATGTTTAAATCTTTAAAACTACGCAACGGATTTTGAAGCGGTTTTTCTTTAATAGATAGAGTGATTCAAGACGAAGGTTTATATGTATAATACATGCACAATATTGTAGAGAAACACTGATAATTTAAGAGATTTCTAATGGGCCGGCAGCGCTATTTAGTATCAGTATTGCAGCCGGGGTGGGTCGCTAGTAGCTTATATAAATAGAGTGTTACATACACATGTTTCGAGAAAAATCGTTCAACTTTTTCACACATATACTAAATTTTACGCAAAAAAGCCCAAATGAGAGGCTTAGTGCAGAAAAGAGAGTACAAATTACATTATATATATATATATATATATATATATATATATATATGGCTTAGTATTTTAATTTAGTTTATATTTGTAAACCACCATGTCTTGGTAATCTCATATGGACTCCCGCGATACAGGTTCTCCTAATGCGGGGTCCAATGTACTCGCTGTTGTAATTTTTTTTTTGTATTTAATAAATAAATAAATAAATAAATAAGTGAAGAAAGAATTAAAGAGGTATAAAGAAAATTTTTGAGTACATACCGATAAATCCGTAGAAGCATACAGCAGCACCCTTGATTATGCCGGCGAGCCCGTACGGCGCGAAGCCGCCGGTACCGAAGTCCTTGCCAGTATTCTGGGGCACTTCCGACGCTGGGATCCGCCAGTTCTTGGTATCAGCTGCAATTATATACACTATGTCAAACCACAGAGTAAAAAACTACCAGTGGTCCAACGCTTTTTGACACCGCGAACACTTATATAACCTTTTTTTTTTTTTTATGGGTAAAAATGATATGGTAACCCCGCGAAACAGTATACTCTGTTATGTCCATGGTACTGCTCATGTCTATAGGCGACGGTGACCACTTTCCATCAGGTGGGCCGTCAGCTTGTTCGCCATTCTGAGTTGTATAAAAAAATCTGTGTGAATATTATTGTACATCAACCATTAACTGCCCATTGCTGAACATAGGCCTCTCCTTTAAGGGTTCACCTACATTCGACAGTGGGCATTATTCAGTATTGTTATTAGAGGGACGTTGCTGGCCCTTCCCTCTATTAAGTTCCCTTAGTCGCCTCTTACGACACCCACGGGAAAGGAATGGCCCATCCTATACTGGGACCGCACGGCAGGTATATAAAATATAATAAAAAAAAAAAACTCCAATATTAATACAAAAGGGGATACCTTTAAACGAGCCCGATATGATTACAAACAGCACCACGCAGAGGTTCACACCCGTACAGAAGTTGTTGAACTTTGACGACTCCTTCACGCCGAATGCGAGGGCCACTGTAAATATAGAATAATGTTAACGCCATCCCGTCCGCAGCATTACTATCCATTTTTTTTTTTTTATTTAAAGAGAGAGACTTTGTACAAAAGTCGTTTGCTTGGGTACCTCTGTCCTATTTGTGTTTCAACCGTGAAGCAGTTATGTTTGCATGGCTGTGTTTCGGTTTGAAGGGTGGAATATGGCGTGAATTTACTGGGTACAGAGGAATAACACCCGAGTCCTCAGGAATGGCAACGCATGGTGGGTATCATGGGCGAAACAGTATACTCTGTTATGTCCATTGTACTGCTCATGTCTATAGGCGACGGTTACCACATTCCATCAGGTGGGCCGTCAGCTTGTTTGCCATTCTAAGTTGTAAAAAAAAAATAATCTGTGTGGCGAATCTCAGAAATTACTAGAAATATTTTAATGCAGTATTCAATAACAGATAGACTGATTTATCAGAAAGGTTTAGGTATAAAATTTATAAATGTATAATTTACATATAACTGAGAGATGTCTTACCAGAGAACACCATAATGACGGCAAAAGCGAACAAATCTGGATAACTGGCCAAGTGCGGCGAGTCCATCGGCAACACCTCTTGTAGATACGACGAGATCGCTTTATTCAGCAGCGAGTCCAGATATTCACTTAGGGCTTTCACTACTGACGCTGCACCTGTACAGAGATATTAAAAAATAAGTTCTATACTATCGTTGAATTCGTCACGACGGGCTTACTGACCTGCCTTTTCATCCTCACCAATCATCTCACACTGGTGCCCCGCTAGTGTACACCGGTGGCGCAGGCGGGGTTATGTTCCATTATAATCTATCAAAAAAAAAAACAAAATTAGACAAGTGATACTAGATGGCGCTGGAATCGAAACTTGTGATTTTTATTGATTATTTTGTAATCAAACATAATTTGAATTAAAAATTTTAAATTGGCGATTAATTTTTATTATTAAACATAAATATAAAGTGACAGATAATACGCGATCTTTTCCTGAATCAAACATAACCCACAGAATCGCAATGTTACTTGCTAGTATGTGTTTTTGCAAAGTTACAAGAGAATAAAAACAAAAATTATAATAAGTAACTATTATATCGATAAAAAATAAAAAAAATCACTCGCCAATTTAGAAATTTCGCCTCAATTTATCTTGAATTACAAAATAGTCAACAAAAACAACAAGTCTCGACTCTAACGCCATCTAGTATTTCGTGTCTAATTTTGTTTAGTGGCCAGTCACCTCAAATTAAAATTAAAGCAATAAAAATGCAACCTTACCTATAATATATTCCAGTATCAAATTCCATCCAATGATAAATGCTATGAATTCCCCAACACACACATAACTGTATACGTAAGCGGAGCCTGCCTTGGGTACTCTTGCACCGAACTCTGCGTAGCATAGACCTGAAAACATAGATAGATATAACATAAAACATAGATTGATTTTACCAGAGGGAGACTTTGTACAAAAGTCGATTACTTGGGTACCTCTGTCCCATTCGTGTTCCAACCGTGAAGCAGTTGTGTTTGCATGGCTGTATTTCGGTTTGAAGGGTGGGATATGGCAGTGAATTTACAGGGTACAGAGGAATAGCACCTGAATCCTCAGGAATGGCAACGCATGGGGAGTATCATTGGTGAAACAGTATACTCTGTTATATCCATGGTACTGCTCATGTCTATAGGCGACGGTTACCACTTTCCATCAGGTGGGCCGTCGGCTTGTTTACCATTCTAAAAAGTGCAGCATAAAATTACCATTGGCAATAGTTTGGATTGATATTGTTATTAGATTCAGGAGTAGATCTGCAAATAGAGCACTCACCAGCAAAAACACTAGCAACAGCAGCCAGCAGGAATGACAGTATCACAGCGGGTCCGGCATAGTTCTTGGCGACATCTCCGGCTAACACATACACGCCCACCCCGAGGGTGCTCCCCACGCCCAGGGCGGTGAGGTCCAAAGCGGAGAGGACCCTGGCAAGTCGAGCGGCGCCCTCCTCGGCAGCTTTCCGACGCGACAGCACGCTGTACGCCAGACGCGCCGCGCGGGATACCCCAGCTTTTATTCCACCTAAAACAAGTCAATAAATACTGCTGTGGGCATCATAGATTGGGCCACTCGTGGATGTCGTAAGAAGTGTTTATCAGAACTTAATGGTCGAGGGAACATCACCAAGGCCTAACTGCGATTGCCAAGCCGTCTGCCAACGCGTAACAACTACTGGCAACACCCCCATGGGTGAAGTCTATGTTCAATGGTGAACAGTTACCGACTGATAAGATGAATAGGTTAAAACTTCCGTGACGCATTAGTAGGCACGTTACTTTGCGTAAATGAAGTCCCATATTACATTCTAGGTAGGGCCGATTTAGGAAATCAACTTTTTTGAATTAGTTCTAGGTGTCCGTTGCCTGATTCCTCATAAAACTGAGTGTCTTTGCGTGACGATGTTCCCATTCCTGAGATCTGAACCTACTGCTACTTTCCACTACTTTCCTAGACTAAAAACTGCCTCTTATCGAAAGACATGTACCAGTAATAAAAAGTCGATAAATTGCTATAGGTTTCGGAAGTATAGATCTCAATCATACAATAAGTTACGGTATGCAATCACACCATTTGGAAGCCCCATTGCTAGCAATATAGCCTTAGGGGTCAATCACTATGCAGTTCTCGCCAGGAAACCATCATGGATCCTGATAAAAACTTCACAATAGCTAACTAATATGACTTCATCTTTACTCATTGGTACCCAATCAGCGTACACCGATAAAACAGACGAAGGTTACTCAAAATCATATGGGAAGAAAGGGATTGTTAGTAACGGGCTCTAACAGCCTCATTGCTAGCAATGTACCCTAACAGATCAACCTTCACGCGGTTCCCCTTGGAAACCATCGTGGTTAATTCTAGTGCAATTCGTCACGATGGGCTAACTGACCTGCTTTCATCGTCACCTATCATCCTTCACTGGTGACCCGCCAGCGTATACCGATAGCGCGGGCGGGGTTACCATTACATTTTGACATCAGTCACCACGTACACAAACAAAACCAGAGGAAGACTTTGTACAAAAGTAGTTTGCTTAGGCACATCTGTCTCATTCGTATTTCTACCATGAAGCAGTTGTGTTTGCATACCTGTGTTGTATAGATATCGGATACCCAATATATAGATATCAGTTACCCAATAAATAAATATCGGATACCCAGTATATAAATATCGGATACCCAAAACAAAAATATGGGATTCTCAATATATAAATATCGGAGCGGTATCCATAATACCCATGCATAATACAATTCGTCTGATTTTTTTAATTTAAACGGTTTTATTTAGCTCGACCTGTACGGTATTTATTTATTTGGGTCAAAATTAGAAATTGGAATTTAAGCACCTTCCCGTTGTCAGATTGATCTGAAATTTGGTACACACATTTAATTTAGATGACAATACAATATAATAAAATCAATAACATTATAAATCTAAGATGGCCGCTGATACAAAATGGCGGATTACATATTTTTCCTTAACCCCCGCAATATGGGTATCAAATGAAAGGGCTACACTAGTAAAACACGATGATTATGTCAAAATTTAAAATTCAAGATGGACGCCGTTCCAATATGGCAGACTAGGTACATATTTTTCTACAACCACCACAATATGGGTATCAAATAATAGGACTACACTGAGACACCCAGACATTAGACACTCGGACACTAGACACTCAGACGCTAGACCCTCAGACACTAGACACTCAGACACCCAGACCCTAGACACACAGACACTAGACACTCGGATACAAGACACTCAGACACTAGACACTCGGACACTAGACACTCAGACACTAGACACTCGACACTCGACACTCGACACTCAGACACTAAACACCAGACACTAGACACTCAGACACTCGACACTCAGACACTAGACACTAGACACTCGACACTAGACACTCGACACTCGACACTAGACACTCGACACTCGACACTCGACACTCGACACTCGACACTCGACACTCGACACTCGACGACACTCGACGACACTCGACACTCGACACTCGACACTCGACACTCGACACTCGACACTCGACACTCAGACACTAAACACTAGACACTAGACACTCAGACACTCGACACTCAGACACTAGACACTCGACACTCGACACTCAGATACTAAACACTAGACACTAGACACTCCGACACTCGGATACAAGACACTCAGACACTAGACTCTCAGACACTTGACACTCAGACACCCAGTCACTAGACACTCAGACACTAGACACTCGAAACTCGACACTCGACACTCGACACTTGACACTCGACACTCGACACTCGACACTCGACACTAGACACTCAGACACCCAGACACTAGACACTCAGACACTAGACACTCGGATACAAGACACTCAGACACTAGACTCTCAGACACTTGACACTCAGACACCCAGACGTTAGATACTCAGACACTAGACACTCGACACTCGACACTCGACACTCGACACTCGACACTCGACACTTAGACACTAGACACTCAGACACCCAGACACTAGACACTCAGACACTAGACACTCGGATACAAGACACTCAGACACTAGACTCTCAGACACTTGACACTCAGACACCCAGACACTAGACACTCTGACACTAGACACTGACACTTCGACACTCGACACTCGACACTTGACACTCGACACTCGACACTCGACACTCGACACTCAGACACTCAGACACTAGACACTCAGACACTCAGACACTCAGACACTCAGACACTCAGACACTCAGACACTAGACACTCAGACACTAGACACTCAGACACTAGACACTCAGACACTAGACACTCAGACACTAGACAATCAGACACCCAGACACTAGACATACAGACACTAGATACTCGGATACAAGACACTCAGACACTAGACTCTCAGACACCCATTATAAATCTAAGATGGCCGCTGATACAAAATGGCGGATTACATATTTTTCCTTAACCCCCGCAATATGGGTATCAAATGAAAGGGCTACACTAGTAAAACACGATGATTATGTCAAAATTTAAAATTCAAGATGGACACCGTTCCAATATGGCGGACTAGGTACATATTTTTCCACAACCACCACAATATGGGTATCAAATAATAGGACTATACTGCAGAATACTGTCATTATGTCAAAATTTCAAATTCAAGATGGACGCTGTTACAAAATGGCGTATTAGGTGGGGGCATGATTAGTCGTATCGAGAACAGTTGCGTCTAAGATTGTGTGACGTTAGAGGGGCAGATAAAAAAAAATAGGTAATTAGATACCTCGTTAGTAAGCGGTAGTTATACCACCCAAGTTAAGGTAATAGGTTAAAACGTGCCGAGGACTGTATGGCATTAGGGTGGATAAAAATGTAATGTCGTAAGCGCTTCCCCCTCAAGATTGGGCGCATCTTGTTGTATATTAAGCCTTGCCCCTTTACTGGACTGCAGGGGGGGGGGGTCGACCGTCAAAATGCCCCTTAATCGTGGGAACAACATGGTAACAATTAACAAAAAATACCAACAAATATAAATAAGACTGGAGGCTTACCATCAGTACTTGAAATATTTGTAGGTGCAAAAGTAATGTTGCGGTCCAACATTGACGTTACAAAAGGATTGGTAAATGACGCTATAGGCCACATTACAGAAATTTTTTGGCCTCAGTTCCGTCGAACCCAAATGTACGAAACAGATATATCATCAATTTTAATTGACTTTGGCACAGACGGCATGCACGTTATTTACCCTAAAGCCATACAGTTTCCAACAAAATTCAATTATGGTACGGCTGAAAAAAGGATGTTGCCCTTAGTTTTGTCATGGGCATTCACCGTCCATAAAATGCAGGGCAGCACCGTCGACCATGCAGTAGTATATTTGGGCTCAAAATGGTTTGAGGAAGGACAAGCATACGTGGCTCTAAGTCGAGTCAAGTCTCTGGAAGGGCTATGTATTGAGGAATTAGATTGTACTAAATTATCAGGTAAGAAACCATGTAATAATGATGCACTAAATGAATTAGATAGAATGAGGAATATTCGGTAGGCATTTTCATTAAATACTAAAAACTAGAAAATAAAAAATCGGTAAAAAAACTTTTAAGTTAAACGGTTTTATCTTATGTGCACTGAAAACTAGAAAATAAAAAAATAGTTACTTACCTATAAACCTACATAGGTGGTCCCGGTCATTAATATCTCTGATGGTAGTGGTTGTCATAACATGAACCATGTCAGCGGCCGAAAGGCAGTTCATGAGATAACACTAACACCAGGGTTTGCTTGGTAGGTAAACTAAGCAGCCCACACTATAACAAGTAGGTATTTTGACCTTCTAGTTCAGAAATATTTTAGTACTAGGCAGAATAGCTTTTAGGCATATTAGACTAAAATAAAAACGTGGGGCCCCTCTGAAATCATACCTATAGCAGAGCATATCTTATACTTTGGTAGATCATGAGCTCGGCGTTCGCTGGTGAAGCTGTAACGGCTGGTTATTGATGGTCAAAACTTCCAGTTACGATTATAGTAAGTCGATTCAGCGGACCCTGGACTCCGGAGCTATGAGGTTTCGGATGCGACCGGGATAAACCGCTAGGATGATGATGATGATGATGATTATAATAAGTCGATGCAATCCACACTTAGTATAGTAGAAAGTAATACAGAAATAGTTAATGGGCCCCACGTTTTTATTTTAGTCTAATATGCCTAAAAGCTATTCTGCCTAGTACTAAAATATTTCTGAACTAGAAGGTCAAAATACCTACTTGTTATAGTGTGGGCTGCTTAGTTTACCTACCAAGCAAACCCTGGTGTTAGTGTTATCTCATGAACTGCCTTTCGGCCGCTGACATGGTTCATGTTATGACAACCACTACCATCAGAGATATTAATGACCGAGATCACCTACGTAGGTTGATAGGTAAGTAACTATTTATTTATTTTCTAGTTTTCAGTGCACATAAAATAAAACCGTTTAACTTAAAAGTTTTTTTACCGATTTTTATTTCCGAATTATTTTACCCGCTTATACCGTCAATTAGATATCATTAGTTATTTGTCATTGCGTTAATAGGTAAGGACTTAGGGCTACTGGTTATTGTGGGTATTTGCATGGTAACAAGCGAACAAGCGCTCGTATTTATTGATAACATTTTATTGCCCATGGAAAATAACTGCCAATAATTATGGTGGAACGAATAATGTATTACATAATATTTTTTGTGTGTATTTTTATGCTATTTAGAAAGGCAACCAAGCTGACGGCTAACCTGATGGAAAGTGGTAACCGTTGCCTATATACATGAGCAGTACCATGGACATAAGAGAGTATACTGTTTCACCCATGATACCCCCCATGCGTTGCCATTCTTGAGGACTCAGGCATTATTCTTCTGTACCCTGTAAATTCACTGCCATATTCCACCCTTCAAACCGAAACACAGCCATGCAAACAACTTGTTCACGGTAGAAACACGAATGGGACAGAGGTGCCCAAGCAAACGACTTTTGTACAAAGTCTCCCACGGTTGAAAATGAGTCTAAGTTTTAAAAATATTATTACCTATAACATAAATGTGATATATCTCTCTAGACGTGTCTAGTGGGCTTTACATTGATTTCAATTCAGCAAATGTAACAAATACTCAGCATGTAGGTCGCGTACACCATTTTCTTTACATAAACAATAAATCCCCACTGTAAACTACGTAAAATATCGCCTTGAATAGACCTTGATGTCGACGCATGATTTTATTGATAAATACTTTTCCGCATTACCTAATAAATATGAAATATAAAATTTTTCACCTACAAATATAAATAACTTTATTATGTTTGAAATGTGGTAATTCCCAAAGAGGGTTTTTTTTATGGGTGAAAATGGTATGGTAACCCCGCCTGCGCTAACGGGATAAGCTGGCGGAGAACCAGTGAAGGGTGATAGATGAGAATGAAAACAGGCCAGTTAGCCCATCATGATGAATTCATCAGGAATTAACCATGATAGTTTCCAGGGGGAACCGCGAGGTCGACCTGGTTGGGTATATTGCTAGCAATGGGATTCTCAGTCTCCATTACTAACAATCCCTTTCCCCCCTCCCAAAGAGGGTCGACGTCAGATGTAAAACTATAAACCAAATCTTTTTGTAATATGGATAAAAAACATATTACGCCGACCCCAAATAATAATTGAGATAAGGGTAGAAAGGTGATGATGTTTGAAAAGTGATAAAAAGTATGGTACACAATATTTAAATATTGTTCACACTCTTCACCAGAGTCTGGCGTACAAAATTCATTTATTTGTGCCACGCTATAAACACAAAACAAAACCGAATGGCACACATTTATGTCGTCATATATATGTCAACATATTTACTTTAAGTTACGAATAACAGTCAATTAATTTAATCACAATATATTTTAGCTTTAAATTTATTAAAATATTCATTAAGTGAGTAAAAACATTTCTCTATTAGCCACCTTTTTAGTTTACTTATAATAAATCTGTAGAGAGGTCAATTCTGTACATGAAATATATTTCCAAATAACTATCAGGGGGTGATTAGTGATCGATACTGATGCCAAAAATGTCTGTATGTTCGTTATAGAAACAAAAAGTACTCGACAGATTTTAACGAAACATTGTACAATTATTCTTCATACTCCTGGGCAAATTATAGTATACTTTTCATCACGCTACGATCAATAGGAGCAGAGCAGTGAAGGGAAATGTTAAAAATGTCATGCAATGTCACAACACTTACATATACTTAGATTGCAAGTAATAACATAAAAAATATAGAATATTTATATTTTATTAATGGATGATAATGTAATGATGAAAATGGAAAAAAAAAGGAGCAAAGGAGTGAAAAAAGGATGATGCTCTCGAGATGTGGTGCTGGCGAAGGAAGCTGCGAACTGCCTAGACAGCAAAGTGCACGAATATATCTATCCTGACGCAACTCCCGTAAAAAATAGGTTCTCGACAGTCTGCTATCGGAGGATTCTTGGATACTTCGGTCATGTTGCTCGACGACAGTCCGACAATCTGGACAAGCTAATGGTTGTAGGCAAGATAGAGGGGAAAAAGACCACGCGGACGATCACCTACTCGATGGTCGGACCAAGTAACCGCCGTTACGTATCAATTGCTCAGCTGCCCTGCGAGAAACTGAAGACCGTGCAAAATGGAATAACATCATAAGAGAGGCAACAGACACCTTTCAAGGACACGACCTTCAGAAATGAAGAAGACGAAGAGAGAGAGAATGGTATGGTAACCCCACCTGCGCTAACAGTATACACTGGCGGGGCACAAGTGTAGGATGACAGGTGAGGATGAAAAGACAGGTCAGTTAGCCCGTCATGATACACCTGGGATTCAGTACGATGGTTTCCAGGAGGCCACGTGGAATTCGACCAGACAAAGTATATTAGGATATATAGCTAGGAATAAGAGTGCCAGTTGGCATTATTAACAACCCCCCCCCCCCCCCCGTTTTCAGTTTTCAGTTATTATAATGATCGATTACGCGTTTGCCGATTTTTTTTCCATTTTGGGTATAAGAGTTCTTATGGAATCTCATAATTATCTCAGTATTATTAGCGTGTTATTAGCAACCGACCAATTGCAAAAATTGTTTTTACGATCAAAAGGTGGTAAGCGACTAGTACTCTGGCAAGGTAAATTGAACGTTACAGCCAGGAGTCAAGACACATTTTATTTATTTCGAAGAGCTCGACGGAAAACCTCTATGTCCCTCAGCTTTCAGCCGCTAGGAACAACAAGATATTCTTTGTTCACGATTCAATTTATTCCGTAGACTTTAATAACGATATTATGTAAGTGTCTATATATATATATATATATATACGTGAAGCAAAAACTTTGTACCCCTTTTTACGAAAATTGCGTAGACGGAGGAGTATGAAATTTGGCACACATATAGTTTATATAGAGAAGAAGTGCAGAATGCTAATATATTTTTTTAAATTATGCATAAAAAATGCATTAAATCAATACTAAAAACATTATACACACTAATATGTATTTTTTTTTATGCGTGAAAATGGCATGGTTACCCCGCCTGCGCTATCGGTATACGTAGGTATACGTAGCTAGTGGGGTACCAGTGAACGGTGATAGGTGAGGATGAAAAGGCAGGTCAGATAGCCCATTGTGACGAATTCAATCATAAATTGGTCACGATAGTTTCCAGGGGGAACCGCGTGGAGGTCGACCTGATAGGATATATTGATAGCAATGGGGACTAAACTCCTCATTACTAACAATCCCTTCCCCCCCACTAACATGTATTTGACACACACACGCATATACTCTTTTGTTTATTATTAAAATCTGTGGTCAAATTGAGAATAGATTAATATTATTTGTCTATAGTCTCACTGAACGTCAAACATGATCATAATAAATTCATTTATTACAATATACATATATTATGGTCGAATTTCGACCACTAGTATATTATATATGTATTACGTAAATCCACATTCAAGACCAAGATCAAGTTTGAATGAAGTTTTTTTCTCATTAATAATTAATTAACCTCGACACAAAAAAGATGTCACAGTAAATTTAATGTCACAGTGAACAAGAGTACAAACTTGTACTCTATGGAATTTTTTTTCTTTCTTTTTTTTTGTAACGTTTTTTAAGAGGCACTTTTTATACAGGGTGAAAAATTTACATTTATTTTTATTCACCAGAGGGAGACTTTGTACAAAAGTCGATTGCTTTACCTCTGTCCCATTCGTGTTTCAACCGTGAAGCAGTTGTGTTTGCATGGCTGTGTTTCGGTTTGAAGAATAAATTTACTGGGTACAGAGGAATAACACCTGAGTCCTCAGGAATGGCAGCGCATGGGGGGTATCATGGGCGAAACAGTATAATCTGTTATGTCCATGGTACTGCTCATGTCTATAGGCGACTTACCACTTTCCATCAGGTGGGCCGTCAGCTTGTTTTTCTAAGTTGTATAAAAAAAAAAAAAAAAAAAAAAAAAAAAAAAAATTTTTTTTTATGAAAAATTTTATTGCATTTGAGACACGAAATTAAAGGGAATGCAGATAATTTAGTAACACTTTATATTGTTATGTTGTAATTTAAATGTAATTAATATATTTCCATATATTTTTACACGTTACTGTACTGATGCTTTACTGAGTGAGCGCATTGTGAGACTGTAAAGCTCACTAAGTTGATAAAATTAATAAATAAATATTTTATGTTATTTATTTAAGTTGGTGCAATAAATTGTAAAATAAATAAATTACTCCTTTCCATCCAAAGGTTGCGTGAAAGAGATCGCTTTTAGCGATAAGGTCGCCCATTGTTTTCTAATTGTGATTATTTCTTGTAATTATTTATATCTATAATAAGTTTACTGTTGTAATCTTTTGGAGGAAACAATAAAGAGTATCTATCTATCTAAAAAATAAATTACATCCTAACTTAGCATTTTATATACCGATCCACGCGGGTGAAACTAAGATAGAGATAAAAAAAATAATAAAAAAAAAAATAAACCATTACGTACGTATAAGGAACAGCATTGCGTTAGTGCCTGGTGTCTGCGGCTCAGCGTCACTAATAAGAGTACGCGGCTGGTGGAACGACCGGCCAATTGCACTGATTGGCAGTATGGACATCACTTGACTGGGTACTGTAAGCGCGCGCGCACACAGTTGCGAAAATAATGCATCAGCAAAAAAATATAAGAGAAAAACATTCACGTAATCAGTTCCGTGCTGTTTGGCCGTTTTGAAATATACTATCCAATGTAAAGTGCTACTAACGCCTATTATAAACTGGTTGACTTGACAGACGTGGTTACGCAGAAACTTAGCTAAGTATCAGGTGCCTGCCCTAAATCTGAGTGGTGTACAAACGGAACCTGGGACCTAACACTATGGTGCATCGAGGGACACCGAAGTGGTTTTAGTCCAGCAATACCCATACTTCGCCTCCGGGGTGTATGAGCCTGTATGTTGCATATACTCAGGTAAAAAAAAGGATCAGCTTAAACAAAACATATAACGTCCCCTTCATTTCTCGTGGATGTCGTAAGAGACGACTAATGGGTAGCAGTGTTTCTCTTAAAACATCTCTTAAGCCTAACTGCGGTTGCCAATCCGCCTGCCGAGCGTGGCAACTACAGGCAAATCCCCCAAGACGGAGACTTATGTTCAGCAGTGGATAGTTATAGGCTGCGCTATCGGTATACGCTGGCGGGGTACCAGTGAGGGACGATAGTTGAAGATGAAAAGGCAGGTCAGTTAGCCCATCGCAATGAATGGACCTGGATATTAGCACGATGGTTTCCAGGGCCAAACGCGTTTAGATCGACCTGACAATCCTATCGAAGGTTAAACAATATAAGAGCAATTCTAATTTTTGAAGGTGTTGCTCTAAAGAGTGAGATGATGCTCACTCATAAATCACTCCCGCAAGTTCTTCAGCCAGGAGTGACGTCTCTTCCCAATATTTTAACAGAGTAACAATAGACAAAACTAATTTGTAATAGTTCCTGAATCATTCTAGGACTAAAACAATGACCCGGGTGTAATTATTCCCAGAGAACATCGAAATAAAGAGAGCTTTTTTTTTATCTTTAGGGAGGCAAACGAGCAGACTGTCCACCTGTGGGAAGCGACTAGCGTCGCTACCTGAACCTCTGCAACACAAAAGGAGTTGCTTGTGCGTTACCAGTCTTTTAAATATTTGTAGGCATGTTTTTTTAAATGAGCTAACCCGAGACTCTTGGAGGGAAAGGGATTGTTAGTAATGGAGAGTGAGAATCCTATTGCTAGCAATATACCCAACCAGGTCGACCTCCTCGCGGTTCTCCCTGGAAACTATTATGGTTAATTCCTGATAAATTCATCATGAGGGGCTAACTGGACTGATTCTCATCTATCACCCTTCACTGGTGCTTCGCCAGCGTATCCCATTAGCGTAGGCGGGTTACCATACCATTTTCACCCATCAAAAAAAAAACCCGAGACTCTTACTTACACCCTTCTCAGGGGGTATTGTAAATCACTTATTTAAGGCAAATCAATTTTCGCTGCTGAAAGCTCTTATGTAATACAAAACATTAAAAATAAAGATTGACAGGAGGAATCGACCAATTTTTTACTGTGACAAACTGTACATTAGAGAGCTCAAATGACGATGTCCCTAGGACAAACTAAATGGTTTACATAATCCGAAATATCAGCTTGAACTGGCAATGGGCCAGCCTAATACTACTATAGTACTACAATCAACGGAGATAGACGGTTAAGAAGTGGTGACCTCGTACAGTACAGTGTAATGCAATGTGAGACAACCTGTAGGTGAATCGACGATCTCAAAATACATACAGACGGATCGGAATAACGGAGAAAAAGAAAAACAAAACATAGATAGGCGAAAACGTACTAAAATTTAAAAGGGATAAATAAATAATTATCTCTAACCATAGAAATAAGAAATGTCCAGTATGCAATAACCCTAAGAATTATCAAAATTAGTTCAGAATTGACGTAGATATCGCGTGGATAGATACACACAAAAAAAATGGCGAATTAAATATCGTGTCCTTTTGAATATCGCTTAACCGACTTCAACCGTGACAGAATATTTTTCTTTATTCAACTTAGAATGACAAACAAGCTAACGGCCTACCTGATGGAAAGTGGTAACCATCGCCTATAGACATGAGCAGTGCCATGGATATAACAGAGTATACTGTTTCGTCCATGATACCCTCCATGCCATTCCTGAGGACTCAGGTGTTATTCCTCCGTACCCAGTAAATTCACCCCATATCCCACCCTTCAAACCGAAGCACAGCCATGCAAACACAACTGCATCACGGTTGAAACACGAATGGGACGGTTGCAATCGACACTGATATTGCAAGCAATGGGGCTACTATTCCTTGTATATTGGTATCCTATTATTTGAATTCTTGGAGAAAAGAGATTTAGTGCCAATACCTTTCCTCGCTTACGCCACATCGTTTGGAGAGACCGCGCGTGTATATTTCAGCATCATCAATTCAGCCTTTTACTGTCCACTGCTGAAGTCTCCCCCTTGGGGGTTTTGCCAGTAATTGCCACACTTGGCAGGCGGGTTGGCAACCGCAGTTAGGCTTTAGAGGTATTTTAAGAGGGACGCTGCCGCTCATCCCTCTCCCTCCCTTAGTCGGTTCTTACGACATTCACGGAAAAGGAAGGGGTGGCCTATTCCATGTCGGGGCCACACGGCCATTAGCCACACGGTATTCAGCACGATTAATTTCATTCCAATATTTTTTTTTGTTAAGAAAGTTTTTCTTAAACAATATGTATTTGAATCTGACCCAAGTTTAACGTAGGGCAAAAGAACTTTTTGATAGAGCAGAAGCCATAATTGACTGAATAAGCGAATTTGTCTAATTTCCATAGTGCCTTTCATTTTAAGGTAGGGCATTGGGCCTTTTAAGGTAGGGCATTGCCCATCGATCCCCTCCACTCCCCCAGTTTTGACTATGGTGAAAGGGGTAAGAAATTTTTTATAATCTGTTAGGTATTACTTTTCAATTTATTCATTACTAACCATCAGCCCCAGCTTCGCACAGATGCAATGCTGGTAGTAAATAGCAGCGGCCAGTCTACACATTAGAAATCTCTAAAATTATCAGTTTTCCTCTACTATATTATGCATGTATTATACATATAAACCTTCCTCTTGAATCACTATATCTATTAAAAAAACTGCATGAAAATCCATTGCATAATTTTAAAGATCTGAGCATACATACAGGCATACATGGTACATAGAGGCAGACAAATGGGAAGCGACTTTGTTGTATACTATGCAGTGATGACAAACAAAATCAAATCATTTCTCTTTATAACATTACATTATAGTACAGAAGTGTAAAATTATAATGAAGGATGTCACACAAAAAAAAATGACAAAAACAGTTAATTTAAAAACTAAACTACTAAACTAACTTTGATAAAATTTCTATGGGATCAAACTGAAGCATATCCTTTCAGATAAAAACAATATCTAATTTGATTTAGTACTGACAAAGCCTTAAGGTAACAAACATTAAAAAAAAACCAATCAATCCTCCTTCTCGTTTCAAGTTAATTAAAAAAATATAAATTTATGGAAGTAGTAAAAGTTTCTTCACTAAAAATGACAAGAAATTATGTTTAGATTTTTAATAATTATATGTATAATACTAGAACTCTTTCTTACCAGTAGCTGTAATCTTACCTACTAGGTGGTTAAAAAGCCCATTTTACTCAGATCATAATACAATTTGTTTTGCATATTTCATTAAATTCTATCCTTATTCATTATTATTAAACCCCACCCCCCAAAATTGTCTGGTGCCCACCACATGATTAGAGAAAAGTTATTAGCTATGTACAAAAATACATCTGTGGATACATAATGCACATTTTAAGGGGCCAACCCCCATTACATAAATTAATGTCTACATATATACTTGATATATTATACTGGGCCTCCACTTGTAGTCTCTTTACTCCACAATATTATAGTTCCAAGATCACCATTTAAAAATAAAAAAAAAGAACTTAATTTTATGTTTTAATTAATTGACATACATAACACATAGACATAGGGGGGAAAGGGATTGTTAGTAATGGAGATTGAGAATCCCATTGCTAGCAATATACCCAACCAGGTCAACCTCCTCGCATTCCCCCTGGAAACTATCATGGTTAATTCCTGATGAATTCATCATAACTGGCCTGTTTTCATTCTCATCTATCACCCTTCACTGGTGCTTTATTGAATACATTTTTCGTTAGATCAGGATGCTGGTAACCATACCATTTTCACCCATAATAAAAAAACACATAGACATAAAATGTGTATGAATTTTATTAAATACAATTTTTTTTAATAGATCAGGATGCTGTTATAACTCTGCCTATACTACTAGTCCACACTAATAGTAGTAAATAAAATCAGATTAGTTGGCCCTTAGTGATAAATTCACCACAAAATTGCTAACAATGGGGCTATTAGTCCTCATTAGCGCCAATCCTCTATCCAGGATAGAATATATTAATTGATATTATTTGAAAAACACTTTCGTTTATCTATAAAAATGTATTACAAAAAGCACACAACCGGTTTCGCCGTTTCGCGCACTTTCAATGCTTAATTTTAATGTAACCAATATTAAAAATTATTTAAATAATAATTTTAATCTGTTTTATCCTCAGAAGTACCTTTACAGCGATAAAATCTCTTTTCAGGACTATTCTCCGATCGCTATTGTAATTAACGATTAAACAACTTAAAACACAAAATTATATTTAATATCTTACCATCCTCGAAGGCCTGTTTCACGGTGTACACTTGGCCTCCATTCACGAGCCCATTTCCATTCATAAGAGTCCCATTTTCATCACATTCACCTCGATATGGCATTTTGTAACAAGACACTACCGCTCCTAACCTATAAGAATTAAACTTTAAACACTACAAAAAAAAATAACTTGGCTCACTTAATTATAAACCCAAAATATCTAATCTTAATGAACTTGTTTTTGTATTAATATTAGAATTTTAATACAACTGTAATAAACAGTAAAGTGAGAGAAAATTTGAAATTGCATTGGTACTATTGCATCAGAATCAGATTGGAATTGATAATTTGACATTGACATAACTATCTAACGTAAAGATAAATAGACTAGGGTAGACTAGTTGACATTGAAAGGTAAGCAATGTTGCCAAATATCTGAAAATGTGGAAAATATTTTGATATATTAAAATAGAGAATTTTATTTAGAACTTATACAATAGAAGTTCTCATTTATCTTGTTTGATATTTTTTCATGAAAAACAGGATACTATTATTATTTTTGTTATTTATTACATTTATTATTTATAGATTACTGTTTTTTTTTTTTAATAGATGATAATGGAATGGTAACCCCACCGGCGCTAACGGTATACGCTGGCGGGGCTCTAGTGAGCGATTATATGTGACAACAGAAAGCAACTCAGCAGGTCATCGTGATGAATACATTTCTAATTCAACATGATGGTTTCCAGGGGGAATCGCGTGGAGGTCAACCTGACAGAGTATATGCTAGCATGAGACTGGTAGTCTATATTACTAACAATCCCTTTCTCCCTATAGATTACTGTTATTTCGTAGTGTACAGTTACTACGAAACAGGCCAAGAATATACCCGTCTTCTGGAAATACATCGTATTCTTCACAAGTATAGCCTTGTTCTTTTATTAAATCAGCAGTCGTACTAACAGGTAATAAATCGACCATATCTTTAAATATTGTAGATACATGAATAAAAACGAGGAGTGATGCCAAATTATTAAAAAGGCCCATGGCTTTTTAATCTGAGCTCAAGTGATCTGACTAGTTGCGTCTTTGTATAAATTGAAAATTTAATACGTGGAAATGTGTTATATATTAAGGTTTAGGTATAATATAAATATATTTATAGCACTATTATTATTATGTATTGTTATAATAACATATTATATGCATAATTGTAATCTTTGATACATTAAATTTTATCATCGCTGAAATCGAAAACAATAGGTATTAATTAAATATATTATAAACTGTATATAATAGAAGTAATCAACTAGGCAGTATATACATATATTTTTTTTATACAACTTAGAATGGCAAACAAGCTGACGGCCCACCTGATAGAAAGTGGTAACCGTCGCCTATAGGCATGAGCAGTACCATGGACATAACAGAGTATACTGTTTCGCCCATGATACCCCCCATGCGTTGTCTTTCCTGAGGACTCAGATGGTATTCCTCTGTATCCAGTAAATTCACGCCATATCCCACCCTTCAAACCGAAACACAGCCGTGCAAACACAACTGCTCCACGGTTGAAACACGAATGGGACAGAGGTACCCAAGCAATCGACTTTTGTACAAAGTCTTCCTTTGAAAACTTGTTCTAATGTATTAGTTAACTGCTTTCATCCTCACCTCACCAAAGATCTCTCACTGGCACTTCATCAACGTATACTAACCTTTAACTCTGGTAGGTATTCCAAATTCATCCCATAAATAAAAACTGTTTCAATTATATATGTATATAATACACATAGGCAGGGCCAAACTTAACCTTCCTAGCACCCCTGGAAAGGGGGGAGGGATTGTTAGTAAAGGGGAGGTTAGTCCCTATTGCTGTCAATATACCCCATCAGGTCGACCTCCACGCGGTTTCCCCTGAAAACCATCGTGACTAATTTATCGGTGAATTCGTCATAATGGACTAACTGACCTGCCTTTTCATCCTCACTTAACATCCCTCACTGGTGCCCCTACAGTGTATACCGATAGCGCAGGCAGGGTTACCATTCCATTACCATCCATTAAATAGCAACGCTGGACAAGTTTTTGGCGACCAACATTTGGCGTAAAACATGGCTAGGAGAGTACGTGCGGGGAGGGATTTTTAATAATAAAGATTAAGGGCCCCATTGCTAGCATACCCAACTATACCCAACTAGGTCGACCTCCACGTAGCGCCCTTGGAAACCATCGTGCTGAATTCCAAATGTATTTATCACGGTGGGCTAACTGACCTGCATTTTCATCCTCACCTATCATACTTCACTGGTGTCCCGCCAGTGTATACCATTAGCTCAAGTGTATACCATTCCATTATCATCCATTAAAAAAAAATGGAGTGTACATTTTACTAAGTCTATGGCTAGGACAGAAATACATAAAGGCGACTTTTGTACAGAGTCTCCCTCTGGAGGGACCTTAAAAAAAAAAAAAAAACATCGAAATGATATTATTAATTTATTGAAAAATAACCTTATCATTACAAAAAATAGATAAGTAATAAAAGTAACGTTAAATTTAACTACTTATTCAGTTAGGACACATTTGTGAACGGGAGTTATTCGCGCACGTTAACAATCTATTAATAATTTAAATGTACAGACGACAAACACATTATTTTATTATTAGATGTTTAAAAGTTTTGTACAATCGTGGATCCCTTTTGCCAGTCGAATGGACTATTCGGTTTAGGCCGGCGACCGGAAGGCGCATAGCTTGAAGTAGCAAACCATTTGTGAACCTGGAAATAATTTTGTTTTTCATATCAGCCGTTAACTGTCTGACTAACTGAGAATCCCATTGCTAGCAATAAACCCAACCAGGTCGATCTCCTCGTGGTTCCACCTTGAAACTATCATGGTTAATTCCTGATGAATTCATCATGATGGGCTAACTGGCCTATTTTCATCCTCACCTATCATCCTTCACTGGTGCTCCGCCAGCGTATCCCGTTAGCGCGGGCGAGGTTACCATACCATTTTCACCCATCAAAAAAAAACTGTCCACTGCGTTGGGGGGGAGGAAGGGATTGTTAGTAATGGAGACTGAGAATCCCATTGCTAGCAATATACCTAACCAGGTTGACCTCATCGCGGTTCTCCCCGGAAACTATCATGATTAATTCCTGATGAATTCATCATGATGGGCTAACTGGCCTGTTTTCATTCTCATCTATCACCCTTCACTGGTGCTCCGCCAGCGTATCCCGTTAGCGCGGGCGGGGTTACCATACCATTTTCATCCAACAAAAAAAAAACAGTACACAGTTAATGGCTGAAATAATGATGTGAATACCAAATTTTATAGCGATTGGTTAAGCCATTAAGGTTCTAAAAGTAACTAATAATCAACAAACTCACTTTCACATTTATAATATCGATAAGGATTTAGAATTCTAAAAACAGGATTATACATTAAAATATTTACCAATAGCTTTCCCCTTTTTGATTTTCCATTTCTGCTGCGGCCTCGTGGACTCTGGGTTCTTGTTCTCCTCGCTGAACCTTCCCAAAATGCTCGTCAATCTCTTGTGAACAGGATCCTTATTGCTCAATGAAATCGGCACATTCCTACCTTGGCTTACAGCATTCTTGTCTTTGTGCCAATTCGTTCTAGAAAAAATAATTTGTACACATAGATAGTATTTTTTTTTTTCTTTTTAGTAATATTCTTACCACACTAAAAATTAAAAGTCAATATCATATATTGGGGAGAGAAAAGGGATTGATAGTAATGGAGACTGAGAATCCTATTGCTAGTAATATACCCAACCAGGTCGACCTACTCGCGGTTCTCCCTGGAAACTATCATGGTTAATTCCTGATGAGTTCGTCATGATGAGCCAGTTAGGCCTGTTTTCATTCTCATCTATCACCCTTCACTGGTGCTTCGCCAGCGTATCCCGTTAGCGCAGGCGGGGTTACCATACCATTTTCACCCATAAAAAAAAATCATATATTGGAGGTGTTGTGAAATAGGTCTAGTCGTATTTTTGATGCTGGCATCATTATATTTTCCTGACAATAGTTTTTCTTTAGAAAAATAATACTATTTCTATACCTATAGACCTAAAGATAACTGTGTAAAAACTATATTAATAATAATTGTAATTTAAAAGACTTTTTTAATAGATGATAACGGAATGGTAGCTCCCCCTGCACCAACAGTATAGGTACGCTGGCGGGGCACCAGTGAGAGATGGTAGATATAAGAATGAAAAGGCAGGTCAGTTACCCCCCATGATGAATACACTTGGAATTCAGCACGATGGTTTCCAGGGGGTACCACGTGGAGGTACTTATTTTTCATCCTTATTCTTTAACTTACCACTGTGTTGTTTGTCCTACCCAAAAGATAACCCCGCCAGCGTATACCGATAGCGCAGGCGGGATTACCATTCCATTATCACGCATTAAAAAAAACCCAAATGATAAAGGAAAAAATCACTTCATGGATGACCCCTACGATAATATTGAGTGCCCAACTCAACAATGTCGCAGGGTCACAGTTATTTTGAGCGTGTCTTCTTGAATCACAGTACCAAATAAATCCACCATAATGACCCCAAACTCCAATATATTTTTTTATACAACTTAAAATGGCAAACAAGCTGACGGCCCACCTGATGGAAAGTGGTAACCGTCGCCTATAGACATGAGCAGTATCATGGACATAACAGAGTATACTGTTTCGCCCACGATACCCCCCATGCGTTGCCATTCCTGAGCACTGAGGTGTTATTCCTCTGTACCTAGTAAATTCACGCCATATCCCACCTTTCAAACCGAAACACAGCCATGCAAACACAACTGCTTCACGGTTGAAACAATCAAGGTATATCTATTAAATGAGAGTACTAACGATTTGTATACAGTCTTCCTCGGAAAGTTCTAGAAGTCACTAATTACCTGTAGAGTAGCCTGGAACGCGCATCCCTCCCCTGCAGCTCCCTGAGGAGTTGGTACATCAGTACATCCTTCGCGCTGATCAGTGGACGATCATGCAACTTCTCAACGATAGGTCCCGTGTCTATATCGTTGTCTTCCTGTAAATATTTAAATTGAAAAAAATATTTTTATTAAGAAGTTATTAAATAAACTCCCTGTCGAAGTTTTCCCAAGAGATTACAGCATGGGGTTCTTCAAAAGAGGGGTAAAGAGCTGTCTTCAGGGTCGGCAACGCGCGCATAATGCCCCTAGTATAGCAGCCGTTTATAGACTACGGTAATCGATTTACATCAAGTGGGCCGTATACTTGTTTGCCACCTTAATGGTATAAAAAAAAAATAAGTGAAAAATAAATTCGAGTTAAATTTATAATACACATATTATTTATTTTTCGAATTTATTTTTCACTTTTTATTTTAGTTTTTTCTGAAGCTGTGGCTTTAAGATATCGATAGCTCCTTCTTCGATAACTTATTATACTCATAAAGTATACTTATATGTGTACGTAAGTTTCCTACTTATTTTTCGAAAGTTAATGGTATGTATTTACAGAAAGAAAGAAAGAAATATTTTATTCAAGTAAACTTAAATTTAAGCATTTTTCAATATTTTTATTTTTTTTATTTTTATACAACTTAGAATGGCAAATTATATTATATTTAATTTAATGGCAAATTAAATTATATAGCAATAGTCATTTATTCATTTATATAACAGCTAACTTTGAAATATTAAATGGAACAATAATAAAAACAAAACTTTGTTTATATACATTATTATAAAATGAAATGAGTTTATTTGCATTAAACAGTTTAAAATTATTCCAAGCCACGTGGTATTATTTAGGCACCTGTTTAATTGCCTTAAAAGATCTAGGCATGCAAATATTTTACATTTTATAAAAAAAGAAAAGCGGTAAATAAAATTATAATTCAATTATATTATTTAAATTGACCTTACATATTAAAAGTCTAGGTTATAGTACATTATGTCACTTATACATATATCTACACATAACAACTAATACAATAAATTTATAAAATAGAAAAATGTCAATAGTAGGGGTATTATAGTTGCAAAATCTATATACTGACCTAATAAAGGGATATATTATATATCGGTTATCAAAGTGTAGCACCCGATTCAAATTAATATAGGTATTCTAACCGATTATACTAGATATAGGATCCCGATATATAGATATTGGAACGGTACCGGTGTTGCCCATCCCTACTATTCATGTCTACATCTGTCTATTTGCCGTTCAATATTCTATTAAGTTTCTGTTAACTACTTTTTATAACAGATGGCGCCACGATGATTTGCCTTTATTCTCATTTATTATTCCTCACTGGCACCTTGCCAGAGTGAACCCGCATCACAGGTTGGATTAACATTTAATTTTCATGCGTCAAAAAACCGTCTATACCATATTCCAGCCCCTCACCTGGTAAGCCATGTCGATATCGACATCCCCTGGCGTCGGCTCGTCGTAGACCTCGACTGCGGCCCCCAGTGCCACCAGCAGCACCATCACTGCGCTGTATCCCACACCGCTTCGGCTGGACATTTTTTCTGTAATTCAAAAAAGGGGTTCTCACATCGCTTTCTTTACACATTCTAATCTGATATTTATCACTCTGTTTGCTCTGTTAGCAGGATTTACGTCCGTGTCAAAACCATCTTAATTTATTTACAATTTGATTTGACATTATTACGTGACATTTGGAAATTTTGAAATTTTTAGTATTTAATTATGTGCAACGACTTCTGTTGCTGACTGTACTTTTATTGTGTATTGTGTAATAATATTACCATTTACGTTGCTGTTTTTTTTAATAACATAAAATTTTAATGTATACCTAGCTATACACTGTACCGTTCTGTATACCATATGGTCCCAGCATAGAATAGGCCACCCCTTTCCCGTAAGTGTCGTAAGAGAGGAGGGCGAGGGATGGGCAGCAGCATTCCTCAGGCAATACATCTTCAAAGCCTAACTACCAAGTGTGCCAAGTACTGGTAAAACCCCCCAAGGAGAAGGCTCGTGTTCAACAGTGATAATTTAAAAGCTGATATGACGAAGATGATACACAAGTCATGAGCCTTATTTTTATTCATCTGAATTGGAATAAAAGTACCTTATATATTAGTTCAGAATCGAAGTATCAAATTTCATTTAAAATCTTTCAGGCGTTTAAGCGTGATTTCGTAATAAACATAATATTGTAAAGATACTTTCGCGTTTAAGGATATAAATTGTTAATTCACTCCTTAGTTACAAGTCGTTTTCGTATCGTAAACAACCGTAATACATGATATCTCGCTGTGGATCTAGATTTACCCACTGATTACAGTCTCGGAACGCCTTCTATTATCGTCATAGCAAGTAATAACACGCGGACATTTGCTTCTTTTGCATGTAATTATCTGGCAGGTTTCTGCGATTGGTTTATTTTCAACCATTATTTTCGTATTAGAAATGTAGATTCTATTTTTCATTTTTTCTTCTTATTTCCTATATATTATATTGTTTTCTTGCTTTTTCCTTATTAGTATTATTTAATTTATAACAGATATTATAGTACAAACATAAAGGCGATTTAATCGAGTTCTATACCATTTGAAGTCAATGAAATGGATGGAAGATGAAATTAATTTATTTGTTTATTGATACCTGCAGTTTACAGATGATTAAACTTCAGCATACTACGAATAATTATAATTTTTGTACATGTCAAATTATTTACAATATTTAATACTAATAATTAACTATTTTAATGTTATTTCAATGTTGTTCCAGTTATATATACGAGTATGATATTTCAATTAAATATATCCAATTATTTCAATGTTAAACTTTGTACTTATAAAAACATATTTTGGTAATAAATACATTTTTACTTTTTTTATTTACTTTATAATTAACTAATTAACTCAAAAAAACATTATATTTAATTTCACGTAACATGTCAATTCTGTAACTTAAATCCACTATGGTATAATCATACGAGTATATAATACAATGTCAAAATCAATTTCAAGCTAAATATCAATATAAACATTACAGACATGTCGTAGAGAATACAGGAATCTTTTTTATGCAACTTAGAATAGCAAACAAGCTTACGACCCACCTGATGGAAAGTGGTCACCGTCGCCTATAGACATGAGCAGTGCCATGGACATAACAGAGTATACTGTTTCGCCCATGATACCCCCCATGCGTTTCCTTTTCTGAGAAATCAGGTGTTATTCCTCTGTACCCAGTAAATTCACTGCCATATCAAACCGAAACACAGCCATGCAAACACAACTGCTTCACGGTAGAAACACGAATGGGACAGAGGTGCCCAAGCAAACGACTTTTATACAAAGTCTTCCTCTGGTAATCTATAAGCTACGTCAACCAACTTTTCCATTCGATCAGCAAAAATGCCTATATTGTCGTACTGAGTAAGCATATCCCCAATCAAATGCAATGCACGATTCGTAGGTACGTGAGCAGCGTGTCTCGTACGACAAAATGGTTTGTGTGGGATGAAATGGTGTATTAAAAAAAAACCTCTAAAATAAAACAATTTCATAAAATTGTTTTACTGCTATTACCCGCAGCTTTGCTCGTGTATATCAAATAAATTATCCAAAGTGTTAAATTAGAATATAACCTTACCAGAGGGAGACTTTGTACAAAAGTCGATTGTTTGGGTACTTCTGTCCCATTCGTGTTTCAACCGTGAAGCAGTTGTGTTTGCATGTCTGTGTTTCGGTTTGAAGGGTGGGATATGGCGTGAATTTACTGGGTACAGAGGAATAACACCTGAGTCCTCAGGAATAGCAACGCATGGGGGTATCATGGGCGAAACAGTATACTCTGTTATGTCCATGGTACTGCTCATATATTTAGGCGACGGTTACTACTTTCCATCAGGTGGGCCGTCAGCTTGTTTGCCATTCTAAGTTGTATAAAAAAAAACCTATCCGTAAATATACCTTTCATTCAAATCCGTTCAGCCGTTTAAACGCATACAAACATCCAAACATATTTACAAATTTTTACATATAATATCAGCAGGATAATAGGATTAGATTGTAATATGGAGAGCTTTAATTCAATTCACTTGTGTTAGCTTTTATGTGACCATTTTTCCTTCCTCCTTCCCACATCACTATAAATACCATATAAAAAACATATGAAGCACGAGTTAGGCGAGTATATACATATATATGTACTGCAAATAAATTTTAGTTATTTTTAAATTTAATAAACATAATATAATATATAAATAACATATAATAAACATCATAGAAATGAGGTAATTTCACCATGTGTAAATTGTATTTATTGTGTTTGAAAGATAATAATGTAAGCACTTCTATTATCTATTATTTCCATCGACAAAATATTAATGTTTTATATATATAATTATTTATATTCAATGATGAAACAAAATACCAAATAATAATAGAAATAGTTCAAAGGAAATTTGCGTGTTTTATATAGTAAACTTTACGGCTACTATCCTTATTTACCCATCACTGTTCGTATCCGGTGTAGTAGGTCTAGAAACGCTCGAAGTAAGGCGAAAGTGCAATTTGATGATGCACTATTATCGGTTGCTCAACGGCGGAATAGACAATCCTGCAACTCTTAGCCGTTGTTCTTTGTACGCACCCCAACGCTGCATGCGATTGCGTGCTTGTAGACTACTATCGGCACCGCCGGTTCGTACCTGTACTGCTCAGTTTGCTCCCACTTATCAGGCTATTTCTCTGCTCAATTCTCTGATTGCTCAGCATCCAGATATTGACATATTTAATGACAAAATAGATATATTTTTAAAATGTTGTACAAAATTTGTAAGTTTGTAAAATAAACCTATGGCTCACTACATGTTTTGGAAGACTGTAAGTGTGGTGAGTAGTTTATAAATAAATAAATTTAGTTTATTTTTTAACTTTCGTGCAATTGAGCTAATCATTTTAATCCTTTCCTCTCACAAACAGCGGGTCCACCATGAAATGAAATCCCGAATTTTCGGACTCAATTTCGTGTTTTTATTTGTATCAAAATGGGACCAATAAATGAAGTTTAACATTTCTTTGATCATACATCCTATCATAAAGGTGGCGGATTAGCAACTGGGTACAGAGGAATAACACCTGAGTCCTCAGGAATGGCAACGCATGGGGGTATCATGGGCGAAACAGTATACTTTGTTATGTCCATGCTACTGCTCATGTCTATAGGCAACTTTCCATCAGGTGGGCCGTCAGCTTGTTTGCCATTCTAAGTTGTATAAAAAATATATATATATATACGTTATGATAAATACGTCTCACTCCTGATACGTAGTGAATTAATTTGTCCCACCTTCGATATTGTACGTCTTTTCTTGTGGGTGTAATGAGATAGTTGTTTGCTTCTGTAGTACAGTAGACAGACTGATATGAACATGAATTCTATATGTAATCCAATTATTTTTAATAATGTCTGGAAATATCTAAGTACCATTCACGCGATCGACTGAGAAATATAAAGAATTGAGAAGAAATGAGCGATATATATATATAAACGCAAAAATACCTACGTGGTGTCGAAGCAATTAGTGATTAATATAAAGATATAATTTTTTTTTTTAAATAATCGGTAGTTTTGTCTGTAAGACATTGCAGTATCAATAAGACCGCCTTTTGTACCTTTATGTATATATTACAATCTGTACTGTATGCTACTGTCATGGTTGTCCACCAGAGGGAGATTTTGTACAAAAGTCGTTTGCTTGGGTACCTCTGTCCCATTCGTGTTTCTACCGTGAAACAGTTGTGTTTGCATGGCTGTGTTTCGGTTTGAAGGGTGGGATATGGCGTGAATTTACTGGGTACAGAGAAATAACACCTGAGTCCTCAGGAATGGTAACGCATGGGGAGTATCATGGACGAAACAGTATGCTCTGTTATGTGCATGGTACTGCTCATGTCTATAGGCGACGGTTACCACTTTCCATCAGGTGGGCCGTCAGCTTGTTTGCCATGATAATTGTATAAAAAAAATTATCATATCAGCCTTGAACTGTCCACTGCTGGACATAAGCCTTCCCTATAAGGGGGGTTTTGCCAGTAGTTGCCACGCTTGGCAGACATATTATATATATTGACAATCACAAGACTTTAGAGATGTTTTAAGCGCTGCTGCCCATCCTACGCCCTTCCTTAGTCGCCTCTTACGACACCCACGGGAAAGGAAGGAGTGATCTATTCTATACAGGGACCACACGGAAATGCTACTGTATTTTTTTTTTGATGGGTGAAAACGGTATGGTAACCCCGCGTGCGTTAACGGTATACGCTGACGGAGCACCAGTGAAGGGTGAAAAGTGAGAATGAAAACAAGCCAGTTAGCACATCATGATGAATTCATCAGGAATGAACCATGATAGTTTCCAGGGGGAACCGCGAGGAGGTGGACCTGGTTGGGTATATTGCTAGCAATGAGATTCTCAGTCTACATTACTAACAATCCCTTTCCCCCCAATGCTACTGTATTTTTTTTATGGGTGAAAATGGTATGGTAA